AGCAAAGAAGCGAAGTAAAGAGGTCAGATGTAGTACACTGCGCGACACTGTTAGCGCGAACAGGACGTCAGAGATTTTTCGCAATTTACTTCGAAAAGGGTAATGACTTTTATCAAATTTTACCGCTTAGCTTAGTGCTCCGAATGAGCACTTTCCACCGCACTGGCAGTCTTAATAACAACCTTAAAACAATATTAGGAAGCAATTTAGTGATGTGATTGGACTGAGTCGTTTTGGAACAGCCTTTGAAGCAGCCAAAAGTCTATTTTGAAGCAACAAAATAAAAATTTGGAGCATAGGCACACACTTAATTTTCATTTCTAACACTGCACATTATATATGTTAATATTCATGTGTTAGCCTTTCTAAAGGCGTAATCTTCCAAATAGAAACACCAGGCACAGCAACAAGATGCTGAACGATGGAGGACAGTCTGAGCATCTCTGAACGGTTGTTTTAGGTACGGGGTCAAAGTTAAAACAAATATATTCCGTGGGAGTGACGTAAGAGCAGAATAATATTAAGCACCTGAACTGACATGTCAATGAAGTTCTAAAGGTTGTAATAAATCTGCAATTCTTAATTAAGAGAACAACCAAGCTTCGACATTTGGTTATGAACACCAGGGACATTTTATACATAGATTTGCATGATAACAAAAATCAAAATGTACGTCAGTGTTGCCCAGCTTTGTAAGGTACTCAATACAAGTAATGAAATTACTTGTAATTGATTACTTTTTAAAGTAAATTTGTAATAATTTCATTACATTTATTAGGAAGTGATCCCAACAATAATCTGACTGCTTTTGCAAATACTAAAATTACTTGTAACCCTCCGGTTTCTAATAGTGCCCTTTGTTTGTACAAGTTTCCTACCAATGAATCCTTGAAAAGGATGGTTTACTAAAATGGGTGGATTAAGAAGATAAGTGGGCAATAATTCGGTGATTGTAATCCAATAATGGACAGTACGAAATACCCGCCTTCAAACGGGCAGAGAACTTTGTCGTTTTGAAAATCTGAAGTCATCGGAGAAGTAGCAGTAACTTTTTCAAGTAACGACTAATTAATTACTTTGCGTCTTGAGTAATCAACTAATCAAAAGGAATACTTTCTAAACAAGAGTAATTGTAATCAGTGACTTTTTTCGAGTAACCTGTACAAGACTAATTTAATTCAATATCACCAAGCTTTCTTCTTTTTTTGTTTATTTATATATCTGACGTAAGCGTATACATGCTGTTCTGGAGGATTGCTTTCCCCTTAGCACGCGAGTGTGCTGCGACAAAGCAAGGTACGCAAAGTTGCGATTTCTATACTTTGCAGTTCTCGCTTCACTGCAGTGCACCAAAGCGCGACGAGAAGCGCACTCAACGAAACAAACTAAACCGCCAGGGCAGAACAGACCACGAACACAAGAAATATTGCGAGACTTCCCGAGTGCTGTCAGTGTTTGACAAAGATATCAAACCAAGTAGTACGTCATTTGAGTCTATCATTGAAGGTTCTCAAAATGCCCACAAGCCTACCATAAAGATCAGACCGTGTGGCGAGGCCTCAGCCCTTATATTTTTAGTAATAATAACGTAAAATTCTGTGCTGGCGCAATGTCGGCGCAAGCTCATCATATTTCGGCGAAATGTAGCAATCCGGGTAGCCATTTTGGCGCAACGATCACATCACTACCAACTGACCGCTCGCTTGCACCAACAGTGTCGCACTATCTGCTGACGGGAGCAAAAGTTTGGATGATATAGGATCCCGACGGCGCGGCACTCGCTGCCGAGACCCGCGCAGTGCCCCCGCCCGTCGTTTCGTGTCTGCCAGCCTCTGATTCGCTCGCTTCAATGTGAGGCGCTTCTGACCGATTCAAACGGTGATAGATGCCGCTCTGGCGGCCGTGATTAGACAATCTTCGCTCAATGCTCTGGACAAATGGCCGAGCTCGCGTGCTCTTGGGCAGGGCTGGAATAAGAAATATAGAGGCCCTAGGTCAGGGATCTCAAACTCATTTGAGAGTAGGGGCCAGATAGCCCTACCCCTAAAGGACGAGGGCCAACCTACGGAGGAGGGGGGGTTGAGATATTTTGTAAAAAATAAGAACTCATGCTCTTTTTTCTTCAATTTTTCCTAAACTTGCAGTTTTCTTAGTGACATTTTCACCCTTTATTTGCTTATAGGACTGCTTTGGGACCTTGCCTGATGTGATGACAATTAAAATGAAACCGCTCCTACGAGAGCAAGCACACTCAAATCTGCTGATCAATTCACTAGGGAATTAATCGAGCTCAACATGTATAAAAAAAGAAGAAAATCTCTTCATACGACAGTTCTTGCTTTCCTGACGAGCTTCATAGCAGCAATCTGAGAAAATATTTTTAATTTAATGGTGACATTTTCTAAAGGCGAAAGTCTCAATTTTTCAGCTTTATATTTGACAGTTGCTCTGCTGAGAGAGACTTTGTGCAGCCCAAGTGTGTTCTTGAGCAAAATACTCGCACTTGCGGCCTCATGGCGAAATGGTTGTCCTACAGGTGGTTACCATGAAAAAAATCTGGGGAGCAGAAATTAAAACGAGATGCGAGGCAAATGAGAACAGAATAGTACAAACTATGGAAACACATTATAACAGCAGAGCTAAGTATCGAGAGGAAATAAATTGGCAACATGAGATCACTACAGAGCATGCCACTACTAGAGCTCAAGGCATGGGAATGGGGTCTCGCAGCCGGTTGTCTGCGGGCCGCGTCCCAGCGAGACGCGGGCCACGCATTTGAGGCCCCTGCCCTAGGCTAATGAGCACCTCACCTCCTAGGGGGTGAGAGAAGCTTAATACAATAAGCTTCCCTCACCTCCTCTCCAGCGTTTGCTTCGGAGCAACTCGATGATGATTAGGCACTCAATGGTGCAATAGCAAGACAGGTATGAAAAGCTAGGATTATGCCTGGTACTCTTTCGTAACTGTCGATATGATTGGAAGGTAAATTTTGCAAATACTAGAAACTATGACAGATTTTGACTTTTTAACACATTGAATAATGAGAGTAACATCTTTTGAGAGCCCTAGCTACCCTAAAAATAACAACTGGAGTAGTGTGGCAGTGTGGCTTTGATGCAAAGTGCAGCAAGCTATATTCCTATTTCACAAGGGCGTCACCATCTTGAAATATCGTCACTTCCAGTGTGGGCAAAAGCATTGTTTTGGCATTACCACGCCAAAAGAATACATTTAGGATATGAGCATAACCACCACCCATTCTCGTTTTGTCTCCGTTTAAATTTTTTTACAATTTGCAAGTTGAAATTTTTTTTTTTTTTTTTGTCGCCCATACGGGATGTGCCTACTAGGTGGCTGGGGATGAGAGTAAGCAAAAATGGTCTGTAAGTAAAACAGCTTTCCTTTTTTATCATCATGTATTATCATCTAGGTCAGCTTGTACACCCAAATCAATATCTTAGAAAAGGCAAGATCAAATGCAGTTTCCACATACCACACCAAACTCGGAATGTCTTCAGCTTCCATGCAGGTATGCTTCGGTGCTTATTAGCAAACTTCTAGAAAAAGAAAAGATTAACATTTAATTAAATGCGAAGCAGCCAAGATGCTCATAACAGTGTACAACCCCTATACTAAGCTGGAGCATTATGCTGACCTAAATGCCAACACAGGAAAGGTGAACAGCGTTTCTACTAGAGGTGTCCGTGCATAGAAATTCTTGGATGAAGAAAGAATAAACAATTAAAACAGGGACAACACAACTACATCTTTCATGAAAGATGTAGTTGTGTTGTCCCTGTTTTAATTGTTTATTCTTTCTTCATCCACGACTTCAACCAACACGCTCTTCTACTAAGCATAGAAATTCTGACTGCAAATAAAATATAAATATTAAGAATTGCCAGCAAATTTAATCAAATATCTTGGAATATAAATTTTTTACATTTAAAGCGAATTTAGTATAGCTAATTTACAGAGATTGAATTTTTTTCAGCAAGCATACCTACAAAGCAAAAATATTTATTGTATGAGAACCATTTCACATACCTATGTTCAATAAAAAAATAATTCCCCAATGAGACAAATCAAGTAGAACATAATGTAACAAATTACTAAATTATATATTCAAATATGTGTTAATATTTCTTTCTGGCTTTGTACTTTCAAACAAGGGGTTGGCCTATAATCATAACTAAAGGTCAGCTTACGAAACACCATTCCAATATTTACAAGTCCTAAGCCCAGCGTGCAATCACCTGGGCCCAGCTCATGCATGTCCGTCGCTTCAGAAAGCGAGCAAAATCACGTGCCATATGCACCAACAATGAAAATGAAACTGGACAGGAGCCCTTTTTCAGAAAGCTCTACAGCGAGCAAGGTTCCAGTGTTCATTTAACCAACCAAGATGCTCTGCTACGTCAGCCGTTTCTTCAAGCACGCCAGTACAAACAAGGCAGTGAAACTTGATGCACGCACTAGTGCAAAGTGGCGAAGCTTGGCAATAAATAGCGGAATTCTGAAAACAATATTCACAATATACGAATACCTTTTGAAAAGCTTAAATGCTTCAGACAGTAAAAGTGTGCAGCAAATCAAATCGAACAGTATTTGCGAATCATTCGAAGTTTCGAATGTTCGCACATTCCTAGGCAGTGTTCCAAATCTTACCCAAATAGATCCAAGTAACTCCGGCGGGTCGTGTTAAATGATAACAGAGAGAGCGACGCGGGATGCGGGTAGTGTTTTGAAAACAAACATACAAAGCCCTCACCCTGGAGTAAGATGGAGCAAATTTTGGAACACGACCATAGTTGCAAACATTTTCAAAAACTTCCAGCTGTAACTTACAGCTGAAAGTTAAATTGAATGTGACACCATATGGGCATCTATAGAATATAACAATTAGCATGCATTTTTAATGCTTCCACTCTTCCAAAACATACCTGCGGTTTCTAATCTGCAGGTTGCCACACAGAAACTACAAAATGAAGAACAAGAGGAAAAAAGTGAGTTGGTTGTTTATTTTCATAGTTTTTCTTTATACGTACATATGATACAGTGCAGGCGGCACACCACATTACCGCCTGAAGCAGAAAAAAAATAAGCATGCTATTCATTCATTCAGTTTATCACACAAGCATTATATAACTCTGGCAAACCCCACATGCTCTTGCACGTGAAGAACATAGATTTAAGAGTATGATGGTCACATCGTAAAAAAAGGTAAACAGCACTAGACCATTTCGTACATTGAGGTGTCAATTTTGGCCAGCCATTACACTCAAATCACTACTGCCTGCTATTCTTAACCTGCAGAAAAGCTTATACGATACTCGAGACACCAGTGCACATGCCATTCACATCGTCAAGACTACCTGCAAAGCTGATGGAAACCAAACACCAAAACTATTTAGAAATACTGCACTAAGTGTCATACAAAATGTTTGGAGCAATTCCCTTAACTACCTACTTTACAAGTACGTTACTACTTAAAAAAAAAAAAGAAAGGTTCATCCAATTGCATTTTTTTAAGAAGCCTATTTTGCTGTTATGCCATCGAAACAGCTCTTTCTTATCCCTTTTAAGTGTATAAATATATCACTCGGTGCAATCTCCTACCTACTGCCAGTAAGCAAGGCTCAGCGACAAACAAGGAGAGAGCATGACGAAAATCTTTGTTTGGGCAAAATATCTGTTGTTTGAGTCGCCGGAGGAGGCGCGGCGTGGCACAAGCTTGACCGCGAAAGAGAGAAAAAGTTTAAGACGCCATTTAGGTACGGAGCGAGGGAACCACAATGTTCCTTTGTGATCGTATAAAAACGAGGCACCAACTGTCTCGCCGGTGGAATGCAAAAAAAGAAAAAAGAAACGGAATGTGAGGAGGACGCTTGCAGGGTCCGGGCACGAGCACGGCACCTCTTAAGTCCAAAGGCTCAGCTGTTTACGCAAGGCAAACATTGGCTTTGGAAGGTCACGGTGTTGGAGTGTATTGCTCGGCTTGTGGTCGGCGGCGCTTTGTTCAGGCGGACGGCCCCATGGCCTCCTTGGGGTTGGCACCCGGGGATGCAGGCTCCTTGCGGGCCACCTCTCGGATGGACGACAGCGTTTTGTGCAGCCAGGTGTTCTTGGAGGCGTGCAGCTCCGCCGAGGCGCAGCTCAACTGGTGCGTCAAGTCCTGAATCGGAGAAATGGCGGTGCCCCCTTTGTCACACACAAAAGCAAAGAGTCATAGTCCAAGAGATGTAGTACGGCCCGTTCACATGCTTGAGACTGCTTACGACCGCATAGCCTTAAGACCACTTAAGATCTCTTACGAAGAGTGGCGGAATTTATCAAGTAGCTGTGGAACACTTAATACTTACGTACATTTCCTTTTCTTTTCTTTTGCGCATCATTCTTTCTTTTTTAGCTTGAGAAACTTCTGACAATGTTATAAACAACCATTTTTCATAGAAAGTAGGAACATTTGATCTTCGAAATATCGCAAAATTTTCGCCCTAGTGAAATGCAGTTCCAGGGTCACATCATAGGTGGCGTCAGCATGCCAGCGCGTGAACAGGCCTTTATGCATAAAAGTTGAATCGAGAAGCCATGTTACGAAAACGGCAAGTTGTCTGTTTCTGATTCCCGGCCTCCGGCACGCGCTCAATGCCTTCTGTCACTCTGGCTGTACGTGCACGCGGAAGAATGGAAAGACCGCCCTGACGTCCTCTTTGTGTTACCGGCTGTACACCTTTTTCGTTTACTCTCGTACCCAGCCACCTGGTAGACACATCTGGTATGGGCGACGAAAGAATAAAACATTTCAACCCGTAAATAGTAAAAAACAATAGAGAAGCAAAACGAGATTGGGCGACGATTACGCTCATATTCTGACTGTCTTCTCTTGGCGTGGCAATGGCAAAACAATGTTTTTGCCTACAGGAAGTATTCACTGGATGCCATACTTATGGGTGCTGCTTAGAGCGCATGCTCAGAATGAGCTCACATTAATAGGTTGCTAAGATCGGCAATCTTGATGGTGTGGAATGCACGTTTAAAAAAAAAAAAGTGAAAGCATGACATCGGCACGCGCTCAGCGGTCGTGCATACGGCCATGGCCGGCTGCCAGTGAATACTTCCTATACTGGAGGTAACAATATTCAAGATGGCAGCACCCTTGTGGAAAGGGTGTATAGGAGGAGCAGTTCTGTTTTTAGGTTTCGAGTACATTGAAAAATCAACTTTCATTGAAAGTACTATGCCTAACTGAGAAAGACACTTCGACGTGCGCTCATGCATTGCAGAAAAGCAATAACACAGCTATAAATATAAATTTGTTGTCCAGATAACTTCTTTGAAGCAATGCAGCGAAGGCAATTCACACGCCGCTTTCTTTCCTTTCTCCGAATTGTTGTAGAAAGTTGTCCTCGAGCATAGATTCGCTCGACTGCGCAGGCTTCAAGAAAATACTGAATTTACTCGCACAATGAACATACTTTTCCCCCCGCAAAATGGACACACGTTTGGGGGGTGCGTTCATTATGCAAAGTAAAATTTTTGCATTCACACACTTTGTGCAAAATGTAATCTTAGCTGCCAATATGACACAGCAGGGTACTCTGACACACCTCCACTGACAGCGGCGCACCCACGGCTGGTCGTGGGCATGCCACAGTAACCATGCTCTATAAATTGCAAACCTTGTTTAGGGCGCTTTCGGCATGCCTTCACAATTTCACTGTCCGAAAGCGGACCACAGACGACGGCGTGTTTCTTGACATCATTGCATCCGACGGACGAAACACGTCTGGGGTTGGGCAATTCCTCGACCCCAGCTTTGTTAGGTGTGCGCGCTGCTTGGTTTCACTGTTGATCACTTCCACAACTATGCAATTGCAGCCATTACGCACGCATGTACTGCTATGCTTGACTTGGCTTGGTCTGGCTGCTTGGCGGCAAAGGAAGATTGGCTTGGGGGGGCTTGGTGGCTGGCTGAGTTGGACATAGTTTGAGAGTTGCGGAGTTGAAAATTAAAGGTGCATCCATTACGTGAGGGAAAAAAAAAGTCAAAATCGTTCGGGGAAGGGGGGGGGGGGGGGGGGGGGGGGTGTTCATTATGCGAGGAAATACATCATTCTGTCGGACAGCTATGCAGCTGCAACGAATACAAAACCTTCAGAGTAGCATTTCTGAAAGCCTCCACTGTAAGGTGCATAAAACGTGCAATTTACATGCATGCATTTTACATTCATGCATTTTACCCACACATATTCTCAATTATCGCAGCAATGAACATGCCTTCGTTGAACTGATGTTTGTAGCAGCAGAATCATCTGAAGAATGTATTCTGCAAATGTTAGTTTTGCTCTTTTGAGGCTAGGAGATTAGCTATCATACTACTAGTACGAGTAAGAGTTGTCTGCCGTGGTGAATGCCCGATCCACACAAGCACTTGCGTAGTAGAAGCCTTTAAATATTTGGGCACGTGGGACTAGATTTTGATGCAGTGCCATTTGAACGACAAAAGAAGTGCAGCCAGTTTACAACAAGGTTCATCCAGGAAACTAAAATAGGGATAAGTTTCAGTCTCGCAGAGGCTCTAAAAATTTGCTTTTTTCCCATACTTCAGTGGCAAAGGCAACACAAAATGTAGTGCGTGTTTCTTCGCTGCGACGCTGCACAAATAAACTGTGCCTGCATTTTGTGCCTTGACGGCACGAACATCGTTGAGCATAGCGTCTCCGCAAAAACGCTCCGCTGAAGCTAGTGCTCCGGTGGGAGTGGCCTCTTGCAGTTGCACACGTCGGCTTTGACCCCGCTATTACAAGCCTCCTCGTTTTCTCCAAAGCTCAAAAAGTCAAATTTGGGTTTTTTAGGTGCCTAACCAATGAGGGGCATCTGTCACACTTTAGCGGAGGACTGATTTCGACCAACTGGCGATCTGTTGATGTGCGACCGAAATCTCTGTTGAAATTCTTTGCAATGTGCCTCCGTCAAACCGTGGAAAGTGTGCTTGCGCGACATGTCCTAGATGACTAGGCAGCAGCGCAAGACACGGCCTGAAAATGCGTGCTACATCCCCATTCGGCCAAGACTCATCCGTGCGAACACGAGTTCTAGCCGAAAGCCAACGCAGTGCTCGTGTGGCACTCTTCCACTATGAGACTGCGTTATCAGAGACTGCTTGGAGCCAATCGTACGAAACATTCTGCTTTAAGAGAACAGGTGGGAACACTGCCAACCCACCTGGTTCCTGCACTGGGCCTCGACCAATGCCAGCTTGGTCTGCGCCAACTCGAGCTCCAGCTGGCGCAGCTGCGCCCCCGGGTCGTCGCCGTCGTGATCTGGGGGCCCCGGGCGGGGCCCCCCACTGTCCCCGCCGGGGGCGAGGGGGCCCCCTTCCCCAACCCTCTGGACAAGGGCCGCGCAGCACTCGCATGCCTGCGCCCTCAGGGCCCCCAGGGACTCTTTGTTCCGACGCTGCTCACGCTCCAGCTGCTGGCTCAGCTGGCTGCAGATCTGCGGGAACATCCCCACGCACCGGAATCTTTGTTTTCAGAATCTCTCATACTCTCATTCATAAACCTAAGATGGCTTACCATCCCCAAAAATACTTCTCCGATTGATACAGCCTTGCATTCACTACTAAAAAGATGCGTGAATGAACGAGGCTGCTTCAAAGGCTGACATGGAGTCATGTACGGTTGGTTCCAGAAATGAGTGACAAAGGTATGATCAGTCAACGTAAATAAGGTGCCACATCTGCTGCTGAAATTTCACAAATGCCCTAGAAGCGAGACTGGCCTATCTGCTCTCATCTTCGTGGCTCGGGTACATTTTGAGGTAGACACTATGAAATCCAAAAGGCGATCTTTGTAACGACCAATTTCACCCTTGTTGTGCTTGCACAACTCCTGTGCTGTGTCCCAAGTTTGATTCCGTTATGTTTGCCATGTGCATGTCGCCTAAGACGCATTGGATATTTCCCAATAATTTAGTTTGCAGGCCTTAGGTCCTAGCAGGCACATGAATTCACATACTTCTTAATGGAGGACCACGAAACCCTCATAAATAAGCTAAGAAAGGAAAGAAACGAGGCTTTTGAGGGCTTGATGAAGGAGTTTCTGCCACTGAAAATCCCTTCGAATGTTGTTTAGGTTCTATCCCCCGTTTGAGGCTCACCTGTTTGTACTCTGCAAGGATGGTTGTCTTGCGCTGTGCTTCTGCTTCTGCACTCTGAAGCTCTCTACGACACATCTCCTTCACCTGCATGTGGGGACAAACAATGACTCAGTCTACATTACCTGGGTGCATCTCCAGCTCAGCTCTCGCTTCCTTGTAAGGAGGTTTTGACGAAGGAACACCTGTCATTTCTTGCTTTGTTGGGGCAGATGATGCATGGCTCTGGTAAGAGGCTGAGCTAAAGCTAGCAGGCTATTAGAAATATTTTTATAGGAATCTTTGTCTAGGTTTGATTATAAACAAAATTTTGGTATCGACCTAAATACAAGTTTTTCATAGGGCTGTAGCATCTAAGCTCTAAATGGCATCACCACACGAGCTATTAAGCATTCTCACAAATGGTACAGGTTTTGTGTTTAAATATTGATTGCTCATTGGCTGAGAAAAGCACTCTTTTAACCACAATTACTAAAATTACCTCAATAAAGGCTGCGATGACAAAACATTAAGCTAATTTTTCATTTATAGCCATGAATTGATAATGCATTCTCCTCGTGCTTGTTCCCACTGCAGAAGTACGGTTCCACCTCACAGCGTGAGGAGCATAAGGTCACTTGCTCAATGCTGTGCTTGCACTTTCCTCCAACCTATTGCTACATCCAATCCAAAAGCCAGTCCCAAATCCAATCCCACATCCAAATTCTAGAGTGGAGGCGTCTCACCTGCACCACCTCGGTGTCGAGGCGCTTCTTCTCCTCTTCCAGCTCCGCCAAAGAGGAAGCAGTTGTCTGCAGTTCCTTGCCCAAGGCATCCGCCCGATCTTCTGCCTGCGGGGAAACTCCGTAAACAAGACCACACTCCATTCATACCTAAGCTGACAGTGGAGCAGAATTTACATCATGGCTAGACCAATCGACTGCTGACCTCGTCCCACATGATCCAAGACCCCCCCGCATTCACACTCACAAAGAACCGGGTCATGTGGTGCCCCAAGTTCACAGTTGACCGATGCAAATAGCAGATGTTCCGCTCCACTAACCGTAAAATGGATGCGTGACATGCAAAAAACTATAACAGAAAATAAAAAAAAATTAAACGAGACACGTGCTAAACAAGACGAGCGTTTCAGCGCTTGTCCTGTTTTGTATTTTATTGTCCTTGTTCTTTGCACAATGTTCAGCCTTTTTAATGACCATGAACCAAGTGGCCCACATTGCCACTTTAATTCACCATAGAATTAGCAAGTTAGTCCAAACAGGCAGATTTCTCCGAAAGCACATCGCGTGCTCTCTTACCGAGTCAAGGTCTCTGCGCAGCTGGATCTTGCTGGCCACCAGCTCGTGCGCCAGTTCGTCGTTCTCGCGCTCCAGCCGCAAGTTGCTCTCCATCAGGCGCTGCTTCTCTTTCTGCATGTGAAGGCAATTAACCCACATTGTTATCTTTGTGGTTAAGTCAATGCTGCTTCCCTTTGTGAATGCTATGTTGTGGCCTTCATTTGCTTTCTTCAGGCTATGCACAAAGATGTGCACCAAAAAAGGTGCTTCTAATTTATTTAAAAATAAACAGACCTGGTGAGATTGCCCACCCAAATGAATAGATAAATGGTAAAAAACATGAGGTGGGCTATCTTTGGGGACGTAGCAGCAAAACTTTATCAAAAGTTAATTATAAACACCTGGGCACCCGCTACAAACCGCGTGATGCAGGAGCTGGTACCACAGATAGCAGACATGGCTAATTCGCGTTTTGCAATGTGATAAACACGCGGCAATTCGCTACGAACTCCTCTGCCATGGGAAAGGATGCTGCAGGTTGTGGACGCAGCAGATTCGCGTTTCAAGGTGCGGAGAACCCGCGGAAACCCGCCGAGAACTCGCATGTCACGGGAACGGATACCGCAAATCGCAGATGCCGCAGATTCAAGTTTTATGGTGCAATTAACAAACGAGAACCCACTACAAACTGGCCTCTCACGGGAACCAATGTCGCGCATACAGATCGCAAACAAAAATGTGGGAATCTGCTACAAACTCTCATGTCACGGCAACGAATACCACAGAGCCGGACGCAGCAGATTCACCTTTCAATATGCAATATACACGAAGGAATAACTCGAGTGTTATAGGAGCCGACATCGCACGCGCAGATAGCGTTACAAAAAATGCGGGAACCCGCTATGAACTCCCTTGATGTACAGGTACCGCGGATCGCGAGGTTGATGCGATTCACGATGAACATCGCGTGATGTCTGACAGAAATCAGGGGTTGGGCTATGTTTTGCAATTTTTCTATTACAGATATTTAGACAAAAAAAGAAAAAAAAAACAAAAACAGGATGGGCAATTGCTAAAAACAAAAACGTCCAAACAAACAAAACAAAAGACAACTCTTTTTGTTTAAAACCAGGAATAGACATTGCAGTAATGATAACAAAAAAAGGTTTTGCAAATAGGTTGATTCCTCCGAGACGCTATTCACTGCCATTTTTAGTAGCCTTTGAGATTTTTTTTTTTTTAATACAATGCAAAGCTTGTGTAGGTCTTCCAGGCACATCATTTGTGCATGTTTTGCGTGCTCAGCATTTTAAGCCCCAGTGCTTAAAAACTCGGAAGCCACCACCAGTAGTTTTGTGGAACAGCTGGTAAAATCAACCTATTATGTAACCAATGGCAGCGAAAAAAAAAAAAAAAAAAAATTGCTATCTATTTCATATTTAGCATGAAAGTGTCAACAGCTACTCTTTGTCACTGTAGGTTTTGAACTTAGAAAACAATATTGCCCTCCTTATTTCTACATTTTCTATATAACTGAGTTTATCCTTCACAAGATTGATGTAGGTTTCATGAGACCCATTTGCCTTAGACTTAGTCATAACAGTGAGTCCTATTTAACGACCCCGTTACAAAAAAAGTTTTGTATAGGATGTTTACTTGAACAATGTTCTTACACTGACATCCAACAACCCTTTATGAAAGACCAGCTTGTATCAGAATGGCTGCCATGTTTTAAATTGCACATAGGACAAATAACAAGCAACCCCAGTTAATGCTAAAACACACACACACACAAAAAATTGCAGTCCACTATTTTAGTACATATTGTTCTTGTTCTAATAAATATTGTATTTTGAGTGCAAAAAAAAAAAAAGCAAAACCAGCAAGACAAATCAAATTCCTAATCTGTTATTAACATAATTTTTTATATATCAACATGATCCTTAAAGGGCAACTCCGCTTCATTTTTGATATTTAGAAAACTATGCAGCCCTCTCCAGTATCATATAGGAAGACCCCATGCCAAATATTATGATCTAATTCCGTCTATATATTTAATAAACTGGCCTGCAAACTTTCAAATAAGCCAAGTCCCCGAAATTTGCCAACTCTAGCGTGCGATGTGAGACGCAATCGTCAGCGCAGTCAATGCGACAGAGCTGGCGCGGCCAACGTTGAACCACTACGTCAGAGGCATGGCTGCGTCATTTTCACATTTTGTTTGTTTTTACTTCTCAGAGCAAAATCGAACGATGACGTCACGAGTTTCTCCTTCCGGTGTTGGCTGAACGGCGTCCACGTGACCACCGTAACGCGGATGCGCTAATTTGCGCTTCCTGCGCGCTTATCGGTTTGTTTCTCCGCTCCCCCTCTCCTCTTTCGTCTTCTCCCCTTCCCCCTCTCTCTCAGGCCATCATCGTCCACGCCATGCGAACTGACCTGCCCGCGTCGCGTGTCCTCCATGTACCTCGCCCCCACGAACGTCACAAGACCACGTGGTTTGACGTGACGTGGCCATGACTCTGACGGCACGAGACCAATGTTGTCTGATGCAACCAAAGTTTCGGTTTCGGTATCAGCTGATGTGTAAATTAAGAGTACACAAATATTATTCCACATTTCGCGAATACGAAGACGTAGAGCTGTTTAGTAGGGCTTTGTGAAATGGAATCACATGTAAGCCTAAATTTTTCGGAATTGAGCGGAGTTACCCTTTAACCATAGAAGCAGATGGTTTTCTTACACACCACAAGCACTGAAGTTGAGCGAGCCACCAACATAATCGGAAGCTATCTAGCAAAACTTCTTCTATTACAGTCACCAATACTTTGAGAAACGAAAGCGCGTGGCTTCAACGTCGCGATTAATTCTTTTGCATTTTTAACGGCTAATGCCACAACCTTGTCGGCTCTGGAGCGACAATATGATGACAGTTATGTTCGGGATCCACCCTGCCCTGCATTCCCTAAGCCGCTGGTGACCTAGAGCAACGTCCCTGCCTAGAAGAGCCCTGCCATTCTTTCGTCACACCTCGGACACAGCCCGGAAAACTGTGGCAACTGGCGGCGACACTCTTGCCTCACCTGAAGCACCTGGACGGGATCCTCCATCTGTCGCTCCTGCTCCTTGTGCACCTGGTACTCCCTTTCATAGCGCTTCAGCTTCTTCACCTGCAAGTTGTCGTCCAATCAGACTCACCGATCCACTACTACGTACATAGGTGGTAGATTTTCCGGTTTTAACCATGCATATGTTGACAAACATCCGCTGGTATCAGACATATAGAACCGGTTAAAGCCGAAGAACCCAGATACTATGTGGATCTTTTTGCTTTAATGCGGGTGTCTCCAAACCCCGGCCCGCGGATGCCTTTTGACCGGCCAGCGGTTGCCTGCAGCCCTCCCAATGATGCCCGGCCCGCTGCTTGCTTCCAGCGCAGCTACAGGTGGAAAAACAAGCGTGTAAAGTAACGGCGCCGTGACGCTCAGCAAACTCACCGCATCCATTTATATTCTTACCCTTTAAAAGAAATCTGGTAGTAAAAAACTCTTAGAGGCTCTTCAGCTTGTTTATATTTTGTACCCTAAAAAGTTATTTTAAGCACCCCCTAAAAGGGTTTTTTGTGAAAAACCTATAAGGGTTCTCTTTAAAGCTCCTTTTTTGATGCAAAAGAGTTCTTCATCACCCAGTTGCCTTTCTAGTGCTTGAGGCGAAACCGCGTCGAAGAACCTCTCAAGAACGGATTTTTTTTACAGTGTAGCTGATAGTACTGTGTCATATAACATAGTACATATATTGCACATTGTCACCACCAGCATCAGCATTCTTAGCCACCTGTTTAATGACTGTGCAACTATGTAAAAATTCCTTTGAGTTCTCATGCATACATACATGCTTTGTGTCCTATGTCAGAACTATTGCATAGAGTTATCACCAGTTCTACCATTTTCATTAGTCTTCTGCCGTGTACAAATAAGCTAAACTTTTACTATAGTCTTTTTTTGCACGGTGAGTTTTCTGGCTCACAATTATAGTGTAATGTCATAATTTAACACTAAACTTCAAAATAAAATTGGAATTATTAAACCACTTCAGAGTTTTGAAAATGCTAACCTTAATTTCTGTACCTTTAAGTTTTTTTTTACTCATTTCTTTTTCGGGTTTTGAGACTGCGGCAGATTCCAAATCTGGCCTCTGAGAGCAAGAGGGTTTAGAGACCCCTGCTTTAAGGCAACATTCAACTCTCCTAAAAAAGCTTTTTGGGCTACTAACTGTTTGACTGGACATATGCATCATAAAATAAACCTTCTAAAAATAAAAAATAAATAATTTGACAAAATTAAAAGCATGTTTCAAAATCTCTCCTAGACACTGAACTCCCCAAAATATTTTTTTCGGTGGATGGATCACAGATGTATGCCACACAATGCATACTTCCCTAAAAATAAGAAAAAAAAAAGAACATTTTTGCACAATAATTATGTTGCAAGACTACTTTTCATTGAGGAGTGATTTCAAAACATGCCTATATTTTGGCTTGTCCCGAAATAGAAGCACCAAGTAGAAGCAGGTTGCAATGCTCGAAACTGGTCTCGCAACCTAATATTGCGGAAAAATATATTTTTGGAAAGTGAGGACCATTTTTATCGAAATCTCCCTCCATAGATGTTCGTTCGGTGCATAATTTTTAGAATCAAGCACCCTGCCTTTCCCAAATCGGTGGAATCACTGACCTTGGAGGGTTGTGGCATTTGTGTTAGGTCAGTCCCTCAGTCACCATGAATGGTCACACAGTGTCTCTCTTCTAGTCAGGTCAGAGCTGGACTGGTGTTCCAAACTACACTGGCGGTTGTTATCGGTCGAATCTTGCGAAAGAAGCAAAAGCAACTTGCCTTCCTCGTGGCAGAAACGTTATGGTCGTGAACACTTCAATGTTTGTCGTCCCACGGAGTGGAGGGGTAACAGGATAAGAAGAAAACGCAAATCTTTGGGAGATAACGCTAGAGAGTACTCGGACTTCGACCAGATTTTGGACTCGTTGTTGGTTGTTTGCAAGCACCGTCACATTATGGTAAACGTGAAGCGGTACAAGGATGCGTATAAACTGGAAGCTGATCTGAAATCAAGCATTTATACACCTCTTTTGTGTGTATCTATCAGCAACTTTTTTTGCACCGATATTAACCGTCTTCGGTGTCCACATGAAACTAAAGGCTGAAATACTCCTAACTATTTATAAATAAACACCGAGAAACGTAAGATTTTCTGTATAAATAAACACCAGAAAATCTACAACCTACACACACCCTCATCTCGAAAACAAAACTGAACAGAATCAAAACAAATAAAATTCCCCCCAACCTAAGGGTCTAAGACTGGACATCAAAAGGAAGGCAAAGTGGCAAACGAAAATACTAATCCATTTATTTCTCCAGTCCTCCATGGTACTAACTTATTTAGACTGCTGACTCCACCCTAACAAACTATGAACATGGAGGTAGGAAGCTTCTGGAGGTGACACGACGCCACCAGAGGCGAAGCTGGGGGCGACTTCTGCTTTGGAGGGACACACCCCCAATGATGACCAAGACCAAAAGACACTATTGAACGGACCTGACCACCCTTGGACGCCATTGGACGTACTTGGGCACCCCTGGGGGCGTTCCCATTGGCCACAACCTTTACTTCCGGCTTCGTTCGGGATTTTCATTTGGCTGGCTTGAGACGGTGCGTCGCCTCCCTCATCTTCCTACCTCTTCGACTCCCTGACTACATACGAACTAGCTCATGGCTTTTTCAACTGTGCTCCTAGGAACGTGGGGGTTTCCCAGAGTACCATAGCGGGTTCCACGAGCTCCCATATTTCCTCGAATGTCGCTATGTCTAAGTTGTTTTCTCAGTTGGGGCACTATTTTAGCAGACCCTATATCCCTGTCAGACGGGCAATTTTAAGTTGATTCCATCTAATCAGATTTGAGAGATAGGCCAATCGGCGTGAGCCATTAGCAGCGTGTTCCAGGTGCGATGAATCCCGAGCCACCTTGCCAATTACACAAATGTCAATAGATGGAAAGGATATTATGTGACAAGGGTACAAGCCACCCATTGATGCATAACTGTGAGCCAGGTGCCCCCTACAATGTAAGTTATTGCTTACAGCCTGCACTGCTTTATTGCATCAATGCTAAGTCTGGGAGGCATTCTTCGATCGTCAGTTAACCAGTTAGCTCAACTTCCTGCGTCGTTCTCAATTCTACCCCATTCCTCTTTGTTACGAGCCCCTAGGCCTGCTGCGTCGTGGCTGCCAGGTGTCTTGTTTCGTCTTCAAAAATTTATCCTTACCCAATCTCACACCCCAGCAAAAGTTCTGTACCTCTGCATTTGAAAACCTACCTGCTGTCCATGCCATCATGCGACACGACCCGCGGGAGTATTTTGCATCTGCTTGAGTAAGGTTTGGAACGGAGCCACGGTGTTGCTTTGCATTACATACCTTGATGGCCACTGCGGTGTGCAGCAGTGTCTTGGCCGCTTCCTCCGACCGATACTTCTTGGGCACAGCCACCCGGAAGTGTTTGAGCACTCCTTCAAAGTCCAGGGCCAACAAGTCACGGCAGGAGAGCTGCGTGGGGGGGGGGGGGCAGCAGTCTGTGAGAGTCCGGCTGGGCAGTCTGGCCGGTGGCTCATGACTGGAGAGACACTTACCGTGAGGAGCGCCACTGCCACTTGGAACAGCGTGTCCATGCCCTGGACGAGAGAGACGAAAGAAGGGACATGCATGTATTCCTTGTTTCAAACAAGAAAGTCCAAGGGCCTAGGGCAAAAGAATAAAAAATTGTCTTCTGACGGGACCCTAGCCCCTGGTTACAGTACTCGGCAGAAGTAAAGAAACAAGACCAGAAAAAATGCTTGCGAGTATCGATGGGACATCGGACGCATACTAAACAATGATTGTAGACCAACAAGCTGCAGATCACAAGACATTTGTGATATACTGTCAAAGGTGTTTTTTTTTTTTTTAAATGACCAGAATGAACTGCTAGTTTGAGACATTTCAGCTTTTAAAACTGTGTGCGATGTATGTCAGGAACGAGATAGGACATTGCTCGGGGCTCCCCCATACGCTGCCTGAAAGATTGAGGTTTAGGCAGCCTTGTCAAAAATGCCAAGGCACTGGCAATGAGGCAGTCTTACGACATACCAACCTCACCTTCTACAATAGAGATACCTTCCAGAAGGACATGTAAAAAGTTCAATATTTCCCTTCTGAACCTTTCGTAGAGGCAGTTGCTACATGATGGCGTGGCTCCAGACTGCATGTAATCGGCCCAACAATGCATACTCATTCATTGCATGTCCCTTCTTTTCAGGCAAAAGCCTTACCTGTCCCAATGAGCGAAAAGTGGCATATATGCTCAATCGTATGCTCAAGGACGACGCTGTCCTTGGCGTCGTCCTAGAGGTCACCCTAGACCTTTAAAACGACCTTACTTGTCCCATTACGCGAAAAAGCGGCGTCGCTGTGCCCGAAAGATGGCCATAAAAATATGTCATCAAACACGTGCCGCTCACGCTCAAGTGCAAAAGCATGATGTCACCACTGGAGCACCATGTGCAAAAGGTGCGCTTCGGACTTCATCTGTGCTCGTTGTGCGCTTTGTGCGATGGACCGAGTCGACTGCGTCTACATCTACGGCGGCTTCTGCGGGCAAACGTGGCCGCCCACGCAAATATGCCATAACATTTTTAAGTGTTCTCCTCTAGGCGTAGTTCTCGATGTCGTATGTCGTCCTAGAAGTTGTTCTTGACGTCGTCCTCTAGTACACTATCTTCGACGCCGTTCTTGACGTCGTCCGAGAGCTCGTCTTTGACTTTGTCCTAGAGGTCGTCCTAGACGACTTGGCGTCAATCTCTAGGATGTCACCATATACATCGTCTCAAACTTTAATACGTGTAGAAAAATTACTCGAAAACATTTCTTCCACGGGACTACAATGCTTTCAACTCCCTACACGTAAGCAGTCTTGAGTGCCCTCCTGTCATTTCTTTTGTCCGTCTTCTTTTCTTATCTGTTTTTCTCCTCTCTCCTCTTAGGTTCCTTTACAGGAAGAAAGAAAAAACATCTGGGAGGCATATCTCTTACTTGCCGATTTCGTTTAGTTTTCTACGAGACAATCTGACAACAAACAACATACATCTTTGTATGTGTGACTGCAGCCGACAATGATAGTACGCATTCAATTACAGTAGGCACTCATTAATTCAAACTCCAGGAAGCCACAAATCTGTTTGAATTATCAAAGATGCATTCAAATATGATTAATAATTAAATTATGATTTGCAATATGGACACACATACAAAGCAGATATTAAATTTCCTCTATACAGGCCTGCTAATCATAAGCAGGTATAAGCCACACATGAAACAATGGTGAAATGTATGAGATAAGTTCATTCATCCCTCAAAAATGTTGTCTAGTGGACAGTTTAGACAGCACATGACACCTCAAAACAAAATCAAGCTTGTTCACGCAACAAAAAAGTAGTCTATTGTGCACAATTAGCCTTGTTGAGCTCACTCCTTTTGAGCACCAGTACACTGCGGAGAAGCAACACGCGCAGAAGCGAACTCTGCAAGTGTTGCTTCTTTGCAACGCACCGGTGCTAGGAGAGAAGCGCGCTCAACGGGGCCGCGAGAACAAAAGGTATGAATTACATGAAAAAGCTGTTCAAATTAGGCGGCTTATCATCATCATCATTTATTATTCCTTGAAGGCCCAGGGGGCATTATACAAGGGAGTGAACACTTAAAAAAAAAAACAAGTAGCAAAACTATTCATCTACAAAAACACGTTGTAATCTAGTTATGGGTTAGAAAAAATAAGCTGATGGCTGCAGAAAATTTCTTAGTATCAGATAAGGAAACAATTACGTCAGGCAGTGAGTTCCAGTCGTCAATGGCCAATGGTATAAATACATTGCGAACATAGCGGTACAACCAAAGTAATAAAATTTGTTTACATTAACCAGGAGTATGAGATATCAGAGTCTGAATTACCACGTGCCTAATAGATGTATTTGAGAGAAATTGACTGTTGTAGAAAGCACGCCGGCTACTCCATTGCCTTTGAGGATTCTGGGTCAGCCTTTTGTATTGCCTTCAGCAAAATATTGCGTCCCATTGAAGGCCCTGCCCGACAGGGCCCCGGGGTACCACGTACGTCGAGGAGGAACAGGTCGAGGATGAAGAAGACGACGTGGAGCGGGAACTTGGCTGTGAACAGGGTGAGGAACCACTGGGAGCCGAACATGTGGGCCTCCACCCCCAGGTCCAGGAAGTGGGCGTGCAGCTCGGGCAGTTGGTCCTGCATGCGGATGCTCTTGTCAGTAGACTTAAGACAACAGCTGTGGAGGAGTTGATTTGATTTAGTTTTTTTTACCTCAAAGGCATCTAATGATGCATTACACGAGGGTGAAAGCAAGTTCGGGAGGTGCTTAGTATATATATATTAGTGATGGACCGAATCTGCTGAACTTCAGATTTGGCAAAGTTTGGCACATGCCGAACCTTAGAAAGAAAGTTCGGCAAAGATTCGGCAAAAATTCGGCAAATGTCTGCCTACACGCAAGAATGCGACGGGGCCATGGATTGCCAATGGACGCTATGCGGTTATCATTGCGCAGTGTGTTAGAACCAGTGGTTGCGGCGAGGTGTAGAGGCAACACGGTAACTGTGCCTTTGTGATCCTTTGAGACTGTGGTTCTCTTCAATATTTTCTGCCTCAAGAACAGGAGATCAACCAGTAACTTACGCAGTCCACTGCGCAAGTGACAAATGACGCAGTACATTCTGGATAACATGATTTTTATTTGATCTTTCCAATTATGAAACCAGATACAGTAAACATTCTTTAGTTCGAACTCGGTTAATTTGACTTTTTGTTCAATTCGACCGTCTTTAAAAATCCCGACGAACACCCATACATTTCTATGGAAGGAAAAGTTTGGTAGTTCGAACTCGGGAACACTCCGCATCGGATAATTCGTCCCGAGCAATTGCACGCGAGCTCACGTTGCACGGCACCACGGCAGAAAAACCGCCAACGTATGGCGAAACACGGGCCCTTAGCTGCAAAGCCAAATGTGTGCAAATATGCCCCTGCACTGACGCCGTTGAGATGGACCGTAGCGAATGACACGAGCCAGTGCGACCAATCTGGCAGGGAGTAGCGCGGAGAACATAGCAGATGGTCGGGCAAAGAGACAGCGCGAGCTCTCACTTTTCTGACGCACCATGTACGGTCCATCTTGCGCGCCGAAAAGCACAAAATCTCTTTTCCTTTTGTTTTCTTTTGTTGCCGCCAGTTTTGCTGTTTGGAGCCAAAGTCGGCTCATAAAGCTTTCTCAGCGCGCGCTCTGAAAGCGCTTTTCTGTAGCATTGTGTGCGGTCCATCTTGTGTGCCAGAAAGCGTGGGTTCTTTTTTCTTTTTTGTTGTTATTTTTCTGTCGCCGACGGTCTGGCTGCCCGGTGCCAAAGTCAAATCGTAAACCTCTTTTTGCGTTTTTTCTTTCTTTTTGTAGTGCGTGATTTTTTGGGCACATGACGTTTAGTTACGCTGCCTCTCCAGAGCATGCTTTTGGACACACGTTTTAAGCGCAGACGGCAGCAGACCGTCCGTGAGTACTTTGGACAAAAAAAGAAAGTTTAATTTTAACCGTTTTTCTGTCCTTTTTTTTTAATTCAATCATTCGGATAATTCAACCAAATTTCTAGGTCCCGTCAAGGTCGAATTAATGGAAGTTTACTGTAGTTGAAACATTAACCGGCAGTTACTTTAAAGCACACCCTGCAATTATAGCGATGTCGTTTTCGGCTCACAAGTAGTTTGGGCCAAAACAAAATAATATTGTATTTTAATTAGCATTATTTCAGGGTTTTCATGCATTCGCATAAAACTAAACACAGAACTATCATGCTCAACATTGCCCATCCGACATTCCTAACTGCTCACATCTTCTTAAAGGGCAACTCCACTGCATTTTTATAATTTTTGGGTTATGATCTCTTTAGTCGAAGTCGGCGACCCTGAATCACGAGATATAATTTGTTTTTCCGTAGTGTGTATGGTTTTGTAGATATCGCGAATCCAAGTATCGTTACGGCGGCACGGCGAAATCGAAACTACCGGCTGAAGCAGCCTGGCAACATTGATACTAGTGGCGCGTCGTCGGCATGACCTAGTTTTGGTCCCGCGCTCGTGAGCCGACGCACCGACAATGTCGGCTCAGTCGCACGTGGAGTTTCAAAACAGAAGGTAAGTTGCACATTTTCTTTTTTACCGCTTCACTCTGTTAATATGCACCAAATGTAGTAAGTTTTAGTGTGAATTTATCAACTTGCCGGCCAAAAGGCGAATCCGACTGCTATAAATATGACGCGGTCAGTGCCGGCGCAGCATGACTGTATTTGTTTCTTGCTCGCGGACCGAGAGAAAAAGGAATAATGGGAGATATAGGAACATATGTATCCACAAGCAGTCTAAGTTGCCAAGCTAAGGTGCCTTTATGTGCATGCTAGTTAGATCAGCCGCGACCTGCTGCGTCCGGCCGACCGTTCTGGAGCAGCCGGCAGACGGTACGCGAAAAGCGACGGCACCACATCGTTCTTCAAAGACGCGCGTTTCGTGGAGAAACACGGAACAGTCAGCAGCCGCACATACCGTGTGTAGGTGTCTGACGCAAAGTGCTGAGAGCAGAGCTTCGCGCTGGAGCTCGAAGTTGACGGTCTTCCGAAGTCTATCCGGCGAACGGCACCGACCCACACCTTGTGCCTCTTCCAGTCTCTTGGGAACTTGTGGAACCGCAGCTCCGGGTTGCGCACCGGGTTGTTGGTGTAACGCACAGCACTACTAGTCGTGCTCGACATTGCCCAACGCGAGTCCGGCGAGTCTCTCCGGCTCCACGACACGCGCGTGAGCGAGCAGCACTGCTTCGCTCTCTTCTGCGCAGTCGCGAAAGCAACGCTGGAGTTAAATGAACCACCTGGACGCTTATAAAAATAGGAGAACACAGGATAACGTGGTAAGCACCTCTTGCCGTCAGCAGAATGCAGAATGCCACGGGAAACGAAGCATCCGCGGCGTCCGTACGAGAGCGGAGGACTAAACCTACGTCATTGCCCAGTGTTGCTTCACTAGTTCACCCGGTGCCAGCGTTGCTCACCCGCTTTCGGGCCGCTAACCGAGCCAGAAGAACACTTTTAATATTGGTTTTAAGCGGTAATGCGGCGTCGGTTTGACGTGATATTTTGGGTATGACCGTATTTTGCCCCCCTAAAGCGATATCAGTCATTTCGATAGGGTCGACTTTTTGAGTGGAGTTGCCCTTTAAATGTCCGTGTGTGTCCTAACATAAGAAAATAGCATTCTACAGGTTAAAAACGAGACATTGGAAATATGGGATCCACACTTTCATGCAAAGCTGAAGTCATACGACTCAAATCGAAAAACACGCAAATTTACAATAATATTGTTAGCAATTCTGGTGAAGGCTCAGCAACCATTGCATTTGTTTCTGCATATGAAACGGTGACTCCCAGAGAAAGTAAAAATGCAGTGTTATTGCCTTAATTTGTAGACACACTCGCAGGCTTGTGCTCCGAGGCCTCAAAACCGAAACTCTAATAGCGGGAATCGTGACTGCGCGTGCTGCTACCCAACCTCGTCGTCACATCACTTCTGTGAGAAGTCACTGTAAAATTGCCAGTAAACACACAAAAACGACACCGATACAATTATCTTGTAGAATATCACCTTATTCAAGCGATAATTGTGTCAATATGCATCACATGTTGCATTTGAGTTAAGAAAAAAAAACATAAAACCCTTTTTCGCCACAAAAAGTAAAATCAATGTTAACCATTTAAGGACGTATGTCGCGAATTCACGACATACCACTTATGTCCACTTTATAAAATTTTTCCGTCATTTATGGACCCCGCGCCGACTGTCGCGAAATACCTTCTGAAGCGCCACGGTATGCTTGCGCCATCTGTTGGCCTCCCGGTGTACTTTGCGCTGTAAACAACTTTTGCCTGTGGACAAGATTTCAGAGCACGTGGTCTTCGAATCCCCAGCCCTCCTCCTAGCATAATCGAGAGGTAAGTTGTCATTTTAAAATTGTTTCTAGCTTATATGTGGTCCCAACTAACTGTACAAACCACACTTCCTTTTAGTACTGAGGTCTTTGAGAAAATAAGGTGTTCTGTTCGCTTTGTCGCAAATTCGCGACACTTGGCATTCAGTGATTTGCAAGTCGCAATTTGGCTAATCTAAAAAAAATATTTGTGGCTTGCCCCTTAGTTTCAATGAGCCATACTTTATATTTTGTAGGTCATGGAAGCTCACTCCTTCTATGGGAAGAAACCAATTCCGTGTAGGACGCGTTTACCACCCGAAGACGGAAGCGACGACAGCTGCCTAAGTGACACTGATAATGAGGATGCGGACTACAACCCTCCCCAACAGTTCAACGCGCCCCCCGATAATGACACAAGCGAAGAAAGTGAAGAAAAATCGGTGCCAGCTCTCTCAAAAAGAGTGAATCAGCCAGTGCGCTGGTCAAAAACATCTTCACCTCTGAGTAATGACGTTCCTCAGTGGAAAGGCCCTGCGCATGAGAGCGAGGCCGTCAGGTCCCCAATCGAGTAGTACTTCCAGGGATTCTTCAATGACAACCTGTTCAATCTAATCCTGCAGCAGAGCAATCTCTACGCAGTACAGCAAAAGCCGAATGAATAAGCCTCTTGCCTTGTCCCGGGTGGAACTTGAGCAGTTTTTAGGCTGCACAGTCTACCTGTCGATCTACCAGCTACCCCAATCTCGTTTGTACTGGTCAGCTGAATGCAGACTACCAGTTGTAACCGATATTATGATGCATGACAAGTGGGACGAGATGAAATCTTCGCTGCACTTCAACGACAACCTCAGTATGCCACCAGCCAACAGCTCCCCGAAGGATAGACTGTTCAAGACTCGCCCGCTTCTCAAGATGCTGCTCCCGAAATTCGAGGAGATTCCTCAGGAACAATGCCCCCGTGTGGACGAACAGATGGTTCCATTCAAAGGGCACTCCAGCATCAAGCAATACCTCCCCAAGAAGCCTCACAAGTGGGGTTACAAAATATTCATACTTCGTGACTCCAGAGGTGTTGTACACTCTTTTGACGTGTACACAGGCCACATCGATCAAGTGCCGGGGTTTCCTGACATCGGGGCCAGTGGTAATATCGTCATAAAGCTGGCTCAGTGCGTGCACCCTCAACTGGGCCACCTTCTGTACTTTGAACATTAATTCACTTCTCTGAAGCTTCTCGTGACTTTGGCACGAAGAGGCATATATGCCCTTAGCACTGTGCGTGCGAATCGACTGCAGGGTTGCAATATGGCCTCGGACACGTAACTCTGCCAGAGGGGACGATGAAGTAAGGAAGAGTATGAGGCAGTAGTAAATAACCAGAAGGTGATCGTTGTCAAATGGTACGACAACCGATCAGTGACCACCGCAAGTACCTTTGCCGGTACACAACCCGCCTACTCTGTCATGAGGTGGGATATGCGTGAAAAGAAGTCTGTCCAGGTTGAGTGTCCTAGTGCAGTTGTTACGTACAACAAGTACATGGGAGGTGTTGATCTCCTTGATGCACTGATAGCATACTATCGAATCCAATTGAGGTAAAAAAAATTTTACCTCAAGCTTTTTTTTTTTTCACTTTTTGGACATGGTGATTGTTGTGAGCTGGCTCCTCTACCGATGAGACTGTCAGTCACTGGGTGTACCAAAGAATAAGCAGAGAGACCTGCTGAAATTCCGGCTTAGAATTGCGGAAGCCCTCTGCGAGCAAGGAAAGGACTTCTCCTCAAAGAAACGGGGACGTCCCTTCGGCTTTCTTCAAGCTAAACTCGAAATAAAGAAGCGACGAGGACCCATGAGCCACATCCCCGACGAGGACGTCCGCACGGACAGCACAGGACATTGGCCGATAGTCAAAGGCACGAGGCAGCGGTGCAAGAAACCTGACTGCAAGGGGCATACCAAAGTAATGTGCGGCAAATGCAATGCACATCTTTGCCTCAACAAGAACACCAACTGCTTCTTTGATTTCCATCTGCCATAAAGTAGAAGCCAGATGCTTTCTGCGCTGTGCTTGTTTGTTGTTGGAACACAATGAGCAAAATTATGTTTCACTCTTTCCAGACTTTTTTACTACACTAATAATATTGATGAAACTATGAATTTTGTTCAGATGGCGTCGGTAAAATTATTGACTTCATGGCCAGCCGTCGCGAATTCGCGACATACCTCTTTTATGCAAATAGGGTACCCGACCCAATTCACAATGCTCATACCTTTTCAACAGCACCTTAAGCACCACATTCCCACAAAAATATATTTTTTTAGTCAAGGGAAAAATAAATTCGGTGTTAAAGTGTTAAGTCTGGTAACAATGTATCTTTGTCGAATCTTTAGAAAAGTTCGGTAAAAGTTCGGCTCAACTGAATCTCAAAATTCAGCGCCGAATTTTCGATTCGGCAAAGGTTTGGCCCATCACAAATATATAATAGCGTATTTTCCGGTATACAAGTCATAATTTTGATAAAAAATTCTCGTCGGTGTGTCTCGTATGACTTGTACGCATTTTTTTTCTGTAAGTAGGGGTTAGGTATATCTAACTGCAGAAATTTGCCATAGGGGTTATAGTATTTCTCATCCGATTCATTGTTGAGAACATTGAAAATTGCTCACATGCATACCATTGCTATCATAGTAGTATATATAAGCAAGCTTTTCAATGCTGTTTTGCCGGGCCGACCGTACAAACATACAAGTGCAACTTACATACCAATTTGTTTTGGACACGGCCATTTATAAAGGGTGCGACTTATAGATCATTGGAATATAACACCTAAGCAAAATTAAAACTAAAGACAGATGTTGTGCTATATTGTCACGGATGTATAATAGTAGATGTCGAGCTGCAAAACTTGTTTAATAAGGTGGACTTGTACTATTGAAACAAAATGAAACACAAACACCGGTACGCATGACCTTCGGTAGGTGCTGCGCTACCTTTTAGAAAAATTATCAATGAGTTTCTATTGAGTTTCTTATCTATTCTATAAGAATACATTAGAAATGCAATTGAAACTGATTGATAATTTCTGTAAAAGATTTGGAGGCTGATAGAGCAGCGGTGTGGAAAGGGTGCTGCGAGAGTGTGCGCTTTTCCCGATAGTCCCGATGTGCACAGCCTCCCAGCCTCCCTCTCCACTCCAAAGTTCTATTGTCTACAGATGATGCAGCATGTATCGAAGGCTACGCATTCTGGCATTTGCATTTTGTTCTGTTCTGAACTTCTGATAGTACCTACAAACAAACAGAAAGATACCACAGGCGACTGTCCCGATGTTGCTTTTTGTCGTCCTCAGGCTCTTTTATACAGACTACATAGTCTGGAACTTTCTGCGCAGGAACAAGTGATGCAATACTAGGTTCTGCTATAAGATTCTAGAAGAGTCGCGAGAGATAAAAACAAGAATCAGGCTGGCAGGGTTTGAGCCCGATGCTTTTGCGTGAAAGCCGCATGCGGTGACAACTCGGCAGATGCACACAGCAATATGTATACATATATTCGACGATGGTAACAAAGGAATTGTCAATACTAGAAATACAACAAAATTAAATATTACGAAACACAAAATGAATAAATATTGAAAATACAAAGGGCATTAAGGAAAGGAACGAGCTAACAGATACGCTCTTCATAATTTGGTTTAAACAACATCAGCGACGCTGAAGAGTTCAATCGCCTTACCTCCATGAGCCTCTCCAGTTGGAAGAGCTTGAGGTGGAGGCACTCGAAGGAGTTCCGGAAGAGGTCCCGCAGTCCATAGTCCCGCATCACCTTGCAGAAGACGCCAAAGGCCTCCTCTTCTGGCATCTGAGGGGAGGGGGCAGACAACTCCGGCTGTCCAGTGGGCGGGGCCAAAAGGAGGGGCGTACCCCACTCAGGGCTACTCACGTGAAGTAGCAGAGCAGCTGCCAGGAAGGAGAGGCCCTGGCAGTAGCCGACTTCCGGGTCCTGAACTGCATATGCCTGTGAAAACAGCGTACGGCTTTGCTCAGAGCCTGGTGTTCAGGGCCTGGTTCAAAACTTGAATGTAGAAAAAACACTTGGAAGAAAAGCAGACTGGTAAGTTTTCATTCTAAACCTCTCCACCCTTTAAAAAAAAAAAAAAAAAAAAAAAAAAAAAAAAAAAAAAGCTTTTTTTTTTTTTTTTTTTCTTTTTGCGTGGCAAAGGCAGTGGTAACACAGCACGTGATGTGTTGATGCGGACGTGGTGGGAAGAGCTGGCAGAAGTAGGTGGCCGAGAATTAGCATGTGCACCGCCGCACGCGGCACTTGAAGGAGAATTCGAATTTGCCACGAGATTGCAGCTTTTCTTGTAGGATGTCATCCGCTCGGTTGAGTACCTAGGAGCACCCTTCGAAGGCTCTGTGCGCTCGGCTGGCCTCGCAGTCCCGTGTCGTGCATGGTAAGCGAAAATTGCTGTTTTACTTGTGGGTGCCATCTCCTGTGGTAACAATCCGAATGCAGTCTTCCGAAAGCTTGCTGCGGTGCGACACGCAGTAGATAGAGCATGCAAAAAAACGGAACGATTGCAACGCGGCAGCACCGTAGAGAGCCTCTATTAGAGAGTTTCCGACTGCTGGATCGGGGTCACGTGAATAATGGGCCGCGCCTGCAATGTAAGCTGCGAGGAGGTGACAAAAACATTGTCTACAAGCGTCTCTGCCTTTCCGCCTGCTTTTCTACTCGCCGTGCGATTATGCAGCATATGCACACAAGTGACGAACCTCCTCAAGATGCGTCCGCCATTAAATTGCAAATGTTCTCCATTGGTTTGATATGGATCCTCTGTTCAATCTACACACCTGTTAACCCAGCAACGTTGAAATTAGGGAGATTAACATAAGGGGCGGGGGGGGGGGGGGGGGGTAGCATTTATTTGTGAAGTGATTTCACCCATAGAAGCAGACACGCAGCATAGCAGTGTCTGCAGTGGTCACAGGCTTACTGTTTTAGTGACTTAGCTGTTGCAGACTTTGCCGGCCTCAGGAACTTTTCAGGATATGCCTGTTCGTAGCACTGCCCAGACTGGTGGCCCTTTCCCCCCCAACAGATCTCTGAGGGTCTTGTTGGACAGTGAGAAACGGATTGTGTTAGTCTTTTTTACAGTGTTGAAGATCCGCTCGCAATCAGCGTTACCATGAGGTATGACGAGAATATGCCGCATCCTCTTTGCCACTCCGCCAAACCTCAGTCTTCCATCAATGTTTGCGATTCTTTCCCCCCTGACCACCGAACGTCACACCTTTCTTCATTCAAGATCTCCCCGGAAACATCATGTGCCTGGAGTTCTGCAAATTCCACTTCGAGGGCATCCAAGGCACTGCCTCTCGACTCATTGTTGAACCGGGGCAGGAGGTGAGGGAAGGCCTCAATAAAGAAGCAGACACTCCCGAAGGAAGCATTGCTCACCAACTTCAAATGGGTGACCTCTGCATTATTGAAGGCCACTTTCTCGACTAAAAATTTATGCCTGATGTTGTCACACTTCGTGGTGAAGTAGCGACACAGCAGAAAAAAACTGCCGCTTCTCGCCGGTACTTGGATTCCTAACAGATAATGTGCGACTTCCAAGGACCAGACCTTCATCAGCTCTTTGGTTCTTTACATCTTGATAGGAAACTTGCAGTGGTGCTCCACAGGCCCTCATGATTGTGGGGTGGACAAACCCAGCCATGAGGCCCTTCAAGAGCTGCATCAAGAGGGACTGGAGCAGATGCACCTGAGGTGACTGCGACCAAAAACAGGAATCGCACCTTTCAAGAAAAGGGCATTTGCCGTGTTGATTTCTAAGGTGAAGTAGAGCAACTGCTCCCCCCAGGTCAGGTTGATTTGTCCTGTACAGTAGGCTCGCGATAATTCAAACTCGGATATTTCATACTTCCGGTTAATTCAAACAGATCTGAAAATTTTGGTTGTCCCGCTATGTTTTTAATGTATTTATAAGCCGCTTAATTCAAACGGCGTTTTCGCTTAATTCATATTTTTTTGTCCTCGCGGCCCCATTGAGTGCGCTTCTTTCCGAGCACCGGTGCACCGCAGAGAAGCAATACCCGCGGAACTTGTTTTCGCGAGTGTTGCTTCTCCGCAGTGCACCAGTGCTCGGAAAGAAGCGCACTCAACGGGGCTCACGCAAGCACACTTTAGCGGAAAACGGCATTCACATTATGTGCTTCAAGACTAGCAATGATGACACAGACGACATCGAGGATGAGGAACAGCTCACTGGCATCATGCTTTCTGGCCTTGAAGCACATAATGTGAACGCCGAGCTGGCGGAATATGCTAGTCTTGACGACAATGTGTGTGTGAGTGAAGAAGTGAGAGTGAAGATGATGATGAAGAAAAGGATGACCCACTACCAACTGTCACAGCCGCAGAGGCCTTTGAGCACATCGCTCAGCTCCGGAAGTTTCTGTCTGCAAAGGAAGAGTCCCGTAAAGAGCTACTTGCGTTGGCTGGTATTGAAAATTTTGTTTTGAGATCTCATGCACTGACTAAACAGTCCACAATCGACAACTTTTTTGCCGGATGAATAAACTTAACATCACAATTCTTTCACCATTGTGTTATGCCTGTACTTGCTTATGAATAGGCCTAGGTAGAGGAAACTGGCAAAAATCTGCTTTGTATGTGTAGCTATCCATGTAACAAATTATAATGTTGTCTAGTATCATATTTAGACGAATTTCTGATGATTCAAACTTCTGGTAATTCAAACTAAAATCTGTGACTTCCTGGAGTTTGAATTAATGAGAGTCTACTGATTTTTTTTGCCGGTAGAGCCTGCATCTTTCCTTTTGGTTCCTTCGGTTTTGGGCAGTTTCACTCAACCTCAACAGACTTCTACTCCAAGGCAGTAGCTCTACTGGGGATCTGGTACGACCCCAGGGAAGACGGATATTGTTTTTCTTTGTTTCATCCGGCAAGAAGCTGACCAAAGGCTGCCACTGATCCAGTAATCTTGTCAGACACTTCCCCAGTGTCTGACAAGTCTGACACATTTTTTGAAACTCAACGAGTCTATTTTCTCGCTCGGCACTCTTCTCAAGGTGGTAGAGATGTCCACAAGAATTTCATCAAACTTTGCAGGTAGGCAGGTGGCTTTCTTCTTGGCTGCGAAATTGATTAGGTGGTTCGGGCACCCACCCACCATCAGGTTATCTTGAACTTCCTTTAGCACATCTGCTACAACATTCTATTTCCCAAACGTAACATTCACATTGTCGGCACAGGATGAAATGCAGTTGCCCACTGGAATATTGCGCAACTTCAGCGTGTCAAGGACGAGGTTTCCCATCTTCCGTTTGGTAGCCTCTCCTGTCAGTGCTTGCAGACAAGGCAGTCCGCTTTCAACCCTTCGCAATTCCTCTACGTAAAAAGTTGTCACAATCGGGTAGAGTTGCGACCCACTGTTGTTGATTCCATCCTCTGCAACTGCGAAAGTATGGGGTCTCATGCTTTCGCGATTCGCAGCGCACTCTCCCTCCATATCCTTGGTAAAAAGCATACACCATGCAAGGCAAAAAATAAAAACAGCGGGCGAATGCGAGAATTTAGCTGCCAGCAGTATCTGAATTTCTGCTCATGCAGGCTGCACCTATCAAAATCAACAGTCTGCTCGGTTAGTGCTGGCAGGGACGCTGGTGAGAGACTAGCCTCAAAAACACTGAATGGGCTTGAGAAAGGTTCCCTCGTCCCTAAGGCCGAGTATAGTAAGCGCAGAGTATGACATAGGAAATCCCGTACAATACTGGCAAAGTATTCTATGAAGTCAATATAGTATAGCAAGTACAGAATAAAGTACAGAAAGTACAGAGTATAGTACAGAAATCAAAGTGTGGAAAGCCCTGTACTATGTCTGTACTGGCCTGCCAAGGCAGCACTATGCCCCTCACCTTGCATATCTTGTAGAGGGAGTCCTGCCCAGCCCCGCCACTCTCTCGGAAGAAGTCGTGCGCTGGGAATGTGCGGTGGACGTCTCTCTGGATGACCCCCTCGCAGGGGCAGTCTCTGGCCAGCAGCAGCCGGTAGGCCTGGGCGGCCCCAGGGTCCTGTGCGGCCCCCGCCAGCAGCTGCCACACTTCCCCCCGCAGGGCCTCAGGGATGCCGTGGGCCCGCACCAGGGGCCCCAGGGCCCGGGGGGCTGCGTCGGGCCCCAGACCCGCCTGGCGCCACTTGGCCAGCACTTGGGCCCAGCCCTCCAGTTCCCCCTCAGAGCAGTCCTTGCTCACGTCCCCCGTGCCGCTCAGCAGGGGCTCGTCCACGTCTGCCAAAGGTTGGGGGGGGGGGAGAACGGCGAAGGCAGACTTTGTACCATAGAACAGATCGTGGGTTCACAAACTGTTCGATATAGAAGAACGTCTATTTCTCACGAATAATGGCTGATGAACCCTTTGCAGCCTCAGCATTGATGCAATAAAGCTGCGGACTTTGTAAAGTATAATGCACACACTAGGGAGTGCTGGCTCATCATTAGGCCTCAACGGATGGTTTAGAGCTTCTAGAATAGTGCTTAAACTGGAAGAACATTTCAGTTAGGGGCAGGGGTGGCCGAAGAAATTCAGAAGCTTGGGGAACCGTCAAAGGTACTCTGGAAACCTTCCGGGTTTCCCAAAGTACCCTCATGGGTTCTCAGAGTTCCTGAATTTCCTTGACCGTCCCTGCCCCTAAGCGTGCCAAAAAGCAACAGCCTTGCAAACAGTTCGGTGCGGGCTGTGTTCCAGGAAAGCACGAAATGAAGCCGGGGATAAAGATTTCACCCCAATAACCAAATTCCAATAACCCCTGCCCCCCCCCCCCCCCACCACCACCCCCCCCAAAAAAACCTGATGGTAGTTTGCATATTTTTGGGCAAATGCTATATGCCACGATCAATAAGCTGCAAGAGCAAGCACTGTGCTTTGAGCAAGCCTACTGTGGAGAATTGCTCGAGGCTACATACTCGCGCTCGTAGTTTCGGCTTCTCTCGCACTTGTGGTGAAACAGGGTACAGATCTCACGCATACAGTTGAACCTCGATACATATAACGAAGTCATCTTTTGAGCCGGAACTTTCGTTAAATTGCAAATTTTGTTGGATTGAGGTTTTTGTTTTTTTAGCTTTGCGATTGGTCTTCCAGGCTCTCCAAACCCTCAACTGCCTCACACCTTGCAAGTGAGCTTTTACAAATAAGATTCTAATACAAAATGTGGCGGTAATAAAAGAATGCAGTTGATCGACCCTCCGATTGTACGGTTATGAAAGCAGTGCCTAGCACCGTAGGAAAGCATGCAGTCAGAAAAGCAAAACGAAACCAATGCACCACCAGGAAGCGGACTGCTCATAACTGCAGACAGATGGTGCTTCGTGTGAAAACAAAAATTGCTACTATCATCATCATCATTTTTTAACTTTCTAGTTCCTGCAACTGCCGACAAATGGTGCCCCGTCTGAAAACAAAAATTGCAACTATCATTTTACGATCAATATCATTGGTTTTCAACCGAGCCGTCTCGTTTATTATATTAGCGCAGTGCGAGTGGCAGTTACCGTCAAGTCACCAAGAGTGACACGTGACTCTCCCAGAAAGTCGATCAAGCAAACCATTTGTCAGCTCTCGTACACTGACAGGTTACAACCATTATACTTACGACTTACAACTATTAAAATGACCCCAGACCCCGCACGTTGAAGTCGTCACATCCAACTATGCAAGCAGAGTCCCGGGCTCTCTGCTGAAGTAGCTCTCTGCTCAAGGGCACATACTTAGCCCGCATGTTGGTGAACCAGGTAAACAGGGCTTTTTTGACGTCGACATACGCAGCAGTCTTCAAGTTATTTTCTTCAGTACTTGAACCATTGGCATTTAGAGTAGCCATAATGCTGTCTTTCAACTTCTTTTTTGCCATTTGTCACTTCAGCTATTATTTTTGCCTTGATGTCGAGAGACAGAACTTTCCCTTTGTGCGCTGCACCACTCATTGTTCCAAGAGCACAACCACTTCCAGCACAACACTCGAGGCACAAGACAATTTTTGTTGTTGCAGATGCGTAAGAGCTCTAGTTCATTGAGTATAAGTTTGTGTAAAGGCAGAAGTACTTTTTTTTATTTTGTGAAAAAGATAATGATTACATATGATTATGCTTAGGGTAGTTTTCGACGATAAGGCTCGTTTCTGTTAAATATTTATTTTTTCTCGTGGAGGCCGTTAATATGTGTATGTGCGATTTTCAAAGACTTCGTTAAATCAAAGCTGCGGCGCAAAAGTACTTTGCTAAATCGAGAGATCAAATACATTGTCTTCAATGGAAGCAAGATAGGGAGGCATACAAAAATTTATTTAAATCGCAAATTTTGTTAGATTGGGGTTTGTTAGATCGAGGTTCAACTGTAGTATGTCTAAATGTAAAGTGGCACTCGCTATAAGAATGTCAGCACTCAAGAAAAAAAAAACAGTTTGTAAAATACTTGCTCTCCCATAAACCGCAGTAATTAAAAGAAAAAAAAAAGGCACCATTTTAAACATTGTTTAGCTATCTGGATTACCCATTTAGGTTGTGGCCTTATCAGCAGTGCTCCATTTCGACATGTCTAAGGCTGCACTTGTTAATTATTATTCTTGCTGCGAGCCCATTTAACCACTCAACAGTCTTTGCAATCCCAAATCCCGACTCATTCTGTAATGCAGGGATTCTCAAACTTTGTGGTCTCGCGGAACCCCAGGAAGCCTCAAAAACGGTCGCGGAACCCTCCCCCCCCCCCCCTCTATATTTACCCATCGAAAAGCAACAGATGCACAATTGTAGACAATTTTGCTTGTGTTGCTTCCCCAATATCCTTGCCATATCAATCACGATGTCAGTACAAAGCGAGATGAAGGCGCTTTGCATGGTCCTGTCGCACACCCTGCGGCATGGGGGGGGGGGGGAAGGGGGGAGGAGAGGGGGCTGCAATATGGGTGTTCGAGGAACCCATGAGACCAGCTCGTGGAACCCCTGTGTTCCCCGGAACCCAGTTCGAGAACCCCTGCTGTAATGCTTTGCCCCAAGGGCATAATGAATAAAAAAGAACAAAAAAAATTCTCTAGCAGTGCTTGGGATTGGGCTAGTTGGTCTGTCATGCTTTAAGGAAAACATTTAAACCTAAATTTGATTTTTTTTTTAAATTTATTTTACAAATTTAAAGTTTTTGATTTAAGAAATTAATTATACACCCTGACACCCTTACACTAGTTCCAATTTTTGCTACAAATTTCATACGAAGGATTCTTTTGTTTGAAGGCCAAAGTATTCTGATACCACAATCGAAACGTTTCTGAACTAAAATTTACTGGGCAATCAGACTATCTGCTTTATTTTGTTTTAAGTTAAAGACCTCATTGAGAAAAACTATTTAAAAAAAATTTAGATAGGACAGACATGAATCTCATATTTTGAGGTAATAACTCTTCCTCAAATATTTACATATCAGTTATAAAAACTAGATAGCCCAAAGTCCCACATCCCCCACTTTATATTCAAGCAGTCAAAATGGTGCTTAATAGCTTCATTTGCATATCACAGATTTCTTAACTAAGAGTGACATATCTTCTTTTGTAGGTACAGTATGTAACTTTCACAATACACCTACATCTGACGTGAAATCTCCCCTGCAAATTTCATTCCGATCACTTGAGTAGTTCAGAAGTTAAATCTCTAGCCAGTGTCCCCCCTCAAACTGTGGTGCGAAGGATTACAAATAATGGCACAGAGAGGAAGTTGACTTGACATACCAAAATAGGTGCAAACTAATGCCAGAAACGCACATTCCCGACGTTAGTTTGCGATGTCAGGAACACACGAAACGTGTGTTAGTGAGCCATCTACTTCCCTCATTAGAAAAGGAAGAGAGTTACAAACAACACCGTACCGTTTGCTGCATGTACAGTCAAACCCATTCATAACGAACAGCAGGAAAAGCTACAATTAGTTCGATATAGCAAGTAGTTTGATGCAGCAAAAACCATTTACAACCGGCTTCCACGATGCGTTTATTGTAAGGCATGAGCTTCTCTTTCTTTCTCATCTCTTCACTTGTAACAACGCGCTATAAAAGTTTTTTTTCTCATGTGCGCAGTTTTTTTTACCTTATCTTTTTTTCTGAACTGCTGCTCTTCATGAACAGTTCCTTTGGGATAAAAAGTTTTTTTTTCTGTGCGTCCGTGCAGACTGTATTCTTTAGCTTTCTCCCCTTCTGAATCGCTTCTGTTTGCTCAATTTTTTTTGCAATTCGGGCTTTTGCAAATTTTTTTCTTTCCTACCTTTTTTGGGGGGAAAGGGACAGGCTAGAAGACGATTGTTTGTGTGTTTTTGGAAGCCTTCCCGGGAGAAAAAAGTTTGATATAGCCAATAGGTTGTTCATTATAAAAAGTATTTTTATTTTTTATTTAAAGGGACCATGAAATGACCTTTTTACTTTTTCCAGATAACTTTTACATTAAACCGTCAATGTTCACTGAATGCCGAACAGGCATCCGTTTTCGTCTCGGTTTATTAACTTTTACACAAAAAATTATTGAAATATTGACTTTTTCATTCTCTCCAACTGACCGCAAAAGAAGCCGTGACGTAGACCGTTTCCGGAACCGGAAGTTCTCTCGGCAGTAGGAGAATGGGTGTTAGCGGCAACGAGTTGGGGTGCGCCGGTAGGTTTTACTGCGCTGATGTCACCGACGTATTTCCTGAATCGGCGCCTCTCATCGCCGCATCGCAGCTGAGCGAAATTCAATGAGATATGTTGCGCTACAGCGACAGCATGGGACTAGTCCCATACGCCGGTATGCCTGTTGGGAAGTGCAGCGAGTCTTGTCACCACCCCGTCATTGTTGGCAGAAGGGCCGGCCCGTGTCAGTCGTTTGCAAAGCGACGTAGATGGCGTTTTTCGCGGCCTCGGAGATGCAGGAGCGAGCCGACGTTAAAAAAGATACGTTTGAACTACGAGTGTCAGCAAGAGCCACGTAAATACCTGCTTACACTCGGAGCGGACGCGCGCGCTTGATGGAAGTCTTGTATTCGCGCTGTTGGTAAGCGCTTCGGGACCGTTCTTTTATGATTGCAACTCGATACTGACGCGACACTCGGCAAAGAAAGGTTGGACCGGGGTCGACAGTGACGTGCAGTCTGTCAGAATAAAAATGGCATACCAATAACAAAGTGTACATACCGTGTTACGAAGGCAATCCATACGGCGTTTATTTCAGCTCTATATCACACAAAACAAGAAGATAGAATCGACGAGAGTCCCTTTTCGACGAGTGTTCGTCAACACTGCCTCGGAAAACAAGGGGAAGAGATTGACCTCCTCACCTCTTAATCTAGAATTGAGGTCAGTGATCAAACTATAATACGGGAAGGGTCCACAAGGGTCGCGCAGGCATATTCCATTTAGCACGCCAGCCGGTCGTAGGCAGACGGTCTTGCGACGAAGCAACGCAGCGCCGAGTCGGAATGCCTGCTAGGCCTATACGCTTCGTCGGAGTCGGTGAATCCAGCGTTCTTGTTCGTCGTGGTCTGTTTTAAGTACTGTTTTCTTGCTGCTTGAAGTCGGCACGCGCGGGAAGAACACGTAGAAAAATAAACGTTCAGTCAGTCAGAGTTTTGAGAGGAAGGAAAACAAAGAAAATAAATGTTCGTCGGTCGCCGTCACCCAAGTAACTGGCGGCCCTGCCCTACTGCGCACGCGCAGTAGTTGCTTCGTTTACCACACGATAGAAGGCGCTTGGCTCTCAGCATTATCTCATTATCTTGGCTCTCAACATTAGAGTAGGTAGACTAGCTTTGGGGGCGCATTGCAAAACGCCAAACCAGGGAGTACAAGGAGACATGGGATGGGCATCATTTGAGAGCAGGGAAGCGGTGAGCAAGGTAGAATTTGAGGATAGGTTGAGGCTAATGGATGGGGAGCAATGGGCACGAAAGGTTTTCAGCTATTTATACATGAGGAGTGTAGACACAAAGTGGAGACAGCGCACTAGGAAATTAAGAGGAAGGTTTTTGGGCTATAGCGAAGATACGGAAGAGCAAGTCTCAGTTAAGAAGAAAGTTAAGGCCACAGAAAGAGATCGGTGGCTAGAGGGAATGCAGACAAAGACTGCTCTGGAATGCTATAGATTAAACAAAAGAGTTATTGCCAAAGAAAGCATTTATGACAATTCTAGGGGAAGCTCATTGCTGTTTGAGGCAAGAACGGGTGTTCTGCGAACCAGAACATACAGAGTGAAGTACCAGGAAATTGATACAGTGTGCACTGCTTGTGGAGAGGAGGACGAGACGGCTGAGCACTTGATACTCTACTGTAAAGGGCTTCACCCTATGCCTACCGAAGACAACATAGATTTAATAAAGTCATTGGGTTTTAGAGACAGCGAAGGGAGAGTGGATTTCAAGACTGTAGAGATTACCAAGCAAAGATTAAGTGAATGGTGGCAGAAATCGAGAGAAAACTAGGTATTTTCTTAATCACTGATGGCAAGGGGGTTTCATAGCCTCACTTTCTTTGCACTGCGGAGTGAATATAGATTTCACATTTAAATATTCTAAGCTTAAATGGTAAAACAAAATGGCTAGGTGGCGTAAGCTACCGCCCGATCCAAAGGGCTCAGCCGTATTCATCCATCCATCCATCCATCCATCCATCCATCCATCCCATCCATCCATCAAATTTGGCAATTTTCGCCACACATCTCTAATTATGCTACAAAATGTGGATCTGAATATTATTTAACAAAACTTTTAGGAAACATTCGCCGGCTATTTATTGTTTACGATCGCGGTGCTGGTGAGGTAGGCTCTTACCCAATAGGCGATGTGGATTCGGCTGACGTGCACCGATTCTGCGTATGCATCGTAGTGAACAGGCGAAGGAAGGAAGGCGCAAAAGAGTCCAGTTTTCTTTTAAAAGTTCTATAGCAAATAATTTTTTTGGGCTCCCTATTTTTGTGTTTTTGTGTTTCGTTTCACACCTTTTACGACGTGCGGTGGATGAAACTCGATTTTAAAATCATTTCATGGTCCCTTTAAATTTTCCGTGAGCTTGATATAGACAATAGTTCGCTGTACATGGGTTCGTTCTAAACGGGTTTCACTGTATGTGCCTCTGTGACAGCAACGTAGGTTTGAGTGCCTTATGATGGCGGAAAGTGCAAGAGTTATTAATTTTTATTTACGTTTTTCACTTTTTTTCCCCCATTTTCTTCTTTTTTCACTTTTTGTTCAACAAAAAATAATCAGTTCTCAGTTTGCACTAATTTCCGTACGTCGCATTGTCTTTCTCGTCTCTGGGTAGTTATTTGTAATCCTTCGCAGCGCAGTTTCATCCGAGTACCAAAACACGGTTTAAATGGCTGCGCTTGTGGTCTCTCACCCGAGTCCTCGGCAGAAGGGGAGTTTGGGGACGGGTCGTGGAGGGCGAGCGCCTGCTGGTCGAGGGCGAGCGAGAGGGCTGCCTTGCGTCGGATCTGGCTCCCGCTGCTCACGCTCACCACCTCCCAAGAATGCTCCGTTGTCGCCTGGTCGGGGTCCACCTGGAGGAACCGCACCGAGAAACACCCCCGTCTCAGTCTCTTCCTCCCTCGACAAAGTCGGAAGACGAGGTGCAGGAAAAGCCATAAAGACACGGGCCGGCCAAAGAATATTAGGCACGGCGAAAATCAGACTTATGACACAGGCAAAAAGTACAACACTACTTGCCGGATGTCTTCAGTCTCAGGTGATGGTAATGTTGGATTGCTAAAAAGCTCCGAAGAAACCAACGGAAGCGCATTATTCGTGGGGACAACTTTCTGCGGAATTTTCAGGAGTAGGAGAACACGTGCGCAGCTTTAATCGGCGTTCAAAAGCGTGCCACCACACCTTTGACTGCATGGTGGCAGCGAGTTGTGCCGGAATATAATGCTTCTACACATCTTTTGTGTCAGTGTTGCGGGTGTAGAATGTTAAGTTTGGTTTCCTGTGTTACTAAGCGATGCGGTAAAAAAAAAAGCAAAGGCGCAGCTCTTTCAGCTCTGGTGCATGCTGAAGATGGGACAACTGAAACTCGTCCCAGCCATCCTCCTTCAGACTACAGCAGGAGACAACGCATATCCCGTCCACAGTTTCCATCCTACCGACAGAGTAGTGGGGGACCGCTACGTGAGTGGGCGTGAACCATACACCCACCTCCCTGAGCCTGAGGTAGAAATCCTCTTGGAAGGGCTTCCTGCTGAAGTACCAGAACTTCTCCGCCTGCGGGAAGATCTTGGCCTTGGTCTCGATGACGAAGCGCACGGGCTCCTGGACCCCCGAGACCACCAGGTCTACCGCCACCGTCAGGTAGACCCGCGTGTCTGAAAGGCATTACCCAATGACAATGGGCAACCAGACGTACGCTGCGCTGGGGCCGAACTCGTAAAGACTCAATCAAACTCAACTCAAACTCAAATCATTATTTTTTCAGACATGCGCTGGAAGAGACTTTGAGACAAAAAAAAACAAAAAAACACTGAAAGCAGTTTGACGGCGTCTGGAAGTCCATTATATAGGCAGCAGTTTCGAAAACAAACAAAAAACAAAAACATCTAGTGCACAAATTATGTATCCATACAATGAAGCAATATAAAAAAAAAAAAAAATCATACACATCAATACAAAAAACATGCATAAAAATATTCAACTTCCTAAATAAAATGCGAGCGTAAATCGGCTCTTGAAACAAGAAATACATTTCTCCATTAAAAAAAAGCCATTTATTTATAAGTGTCGGGAGGTTGTAGTGGAGGGATTGTAAAAGATCATTTGTTTGGTTACACATACTGAAAAAAAGTTGGGCAGCCCTGTGCTTATCTACAGTACAGTCCCAGCGATGGCTGTGACACGTCACGGCATAAGCGTTTTTAATGCTTTTGTTCCTCTCTTATTCCGTAGCTCGTGAAAGCACGTCTTCCGGCAAGAGCTCCTGGCACTGACAGTGCTAAAACAATATCTTGTTATCGGCAATTTTACTTTTATTTACCCGATTGCGTGCAGTGGGCATCGGGCACTATACTCCGCGACAACTTTTCTTGGCAATGCAGTGGAAGGTACGTCCCGCGTCCCCTCTCCCGTTTTGAGCGTACGCAGGCTCTCCTCCTCCCCCATTTCCGGGGAGAGGAGGAGAGCCTGCATACACTCTAAATGGAAGAGAGGACGCGGGACGTACCTTCCAATGCATTGCCAAGAAAAGTTGTCGCGGAGTATAGAAAAACCCAATATATGATGCTGTAGTGCAGCTCAGTGGTCACGCCTCCACTTCGCACACGGTGGACCCAGGTTCGATTCCCGCAGGCGGCGGACAATCTTTTCAAAGGATTTGGACACATCAACGACGGATGCCCTACATTGCCAACCATAACAGCTATCGCTGTAAAATTGACTGCATGTTTGGTCATTTTGCAAGATGTGTTTGAACGTGGTAGCTTAATAGGGTGCTTGGTGCTCTTAGTTTGGGTGGTGTCTAGATTACACCACTGTCTTTTTGTGACGCTACGCACGCTCCCTTTCAGCACCACCTGAATACAAAGCCTTTGCGCTCAATTTTCTGGGTCACCAACAGAGGAAAAGCATGCTTTCTTGCCCTTTACACCCCTCGTTCTGTACGCTCTTTCTGCACCACCTGTTCCTGCTCTACTCTTTCTTGCCCTAAATACCCCTCTCCATTCCGAACGCTTTCGCATACCACCAGCTTCTGCCCCAGCCGTTTCTGAGGGTGCTGGATTCATAGTTCAGTCAGCAGTGCATTCGGTTTCCATGCCTGTGACCGGGGTTCGATCCCTAACACCGGTTGTTTTTTTCAAAATCGTATAGAGCAGTAGTTCTCAAGCATGAAAGTGTCAAAGACCCTTGGGGACCTGCTAAAGTGATGGGGGACCCCATGCCAGTGGGGAAAGGGGAATGGGGGGGGGTATAAAATAATTGCAGTGTGAAAAGGGCATTTTTTGGAGAAGTGAGAAGCATCAAGTAAAAGGGTGAATGGATGGATAGATGGTAATGGCTGTACCCTTTATAACGAATGATAGCGCGCGCCACCTAGCAAAAATCAACAAAAATTTTTTTTTTTTTTTTCAAGGAAAAGGGAGGAATGGGGGTTGATGTTGAGGTGAAGGCTTCATGGACTTGTACGTAATCCATTACAAGTAAGGAAATTACTTGTCATCTCTTTCATTTACAGTAAATTTGAAAGGGAATAATTACATATTTTACAAAGTAATTGTAAAGTAATTTCCTCACTTATTTATGTAAGAGAATTATTGTAATCCATTACTTTTCATTTTTATTCACGGGAAAAAAAAACAAAAAAAACAGGAATATAAAACACCGACAAAAAATATTTTCTTAAAAAAAAAATGAATTACAGGAAGGTCCATTGGTAGATTTCTAGGAAATGTTTTAGCATGACCGTTGGAAACACCACCCATGTCCCCCTCTGAGAAATGATAATGCTGACCCACTCCTTCACTTTTCTCTTTTGCTTCCCTTATTTTTTTGCTGCCTCTATCTGGCCTTGTTACGGGGTCAGTGTTAGCTTTTCTTGAATGTGGCATTTCCCAAGGTCATGATCAGGGTTGTGAAGTACCTAGGTACAAGTAACTAGAAATAGAAATCTATTGTGAAAGCCCCCCCCCCCCTCCCCACTTCACTGCTAATTTCCCATTTCCACGGTGCGCTTTCCATTTCATGGAAAGCGCACCCCCTTATCACCCCTGGATGAGATGTGATAGGGGTGCTCCGCATTCTTATCACACCTCATCCAGGCAACACTGGCCTGCCAAATCCAGTCCAAGAATCCAATCCAATCCTACTTTGCAGCCCGACCTGCCAGTTGCCACGCGCCATTGTTGCGTTGTTTTGGCGGTGTCAGGTTGACTATGCGTTCCTACACAATGGCAAAGAAAATCGAGGTCGTCCAATGGCATCATGAAAACGGGAAAAACGCACACCACACGTCTCAACACTTCAAGCTTGAACAGAAACGGATACAAGAATGGGACAAGAATTTTGGCAATTTGGTACAGCAAAACTACGGGAAAGCCAAACTTCGATGAAAGCTAAGTAACGGCGCGCCGGTGTTCAGTGAATACGTGGACGACGCGCTCTTTGAATACCTGGAGCATGAAAAAAATGCAGGACAACCGGCTTCTTTCTGAAGAGGCTGTCAAAATAGCCAATGGCATGCAGTTGGGAAATTTCGTAGCTTCCAGCCATTAAACAGCAGAGACAAATCTTTGGCCTAATAAAGACCATGTCCCCAGAGATAAATAAAATTTTAAATCCATGTGCAATGTGCTTTTTTCTTTTTTCTTTCTGGCGGGAAAATTCTGTTGTTGCCATCTTGAATTAGGCTTATGGCAAATTATTAAATAGGTTTATGGCATGGGTTTGGGAAGTTTATGGCATTACATTATTTGACCTTTTACCTTTACAGCTAAACTTAGGTTAAAAGACAAAGGCCACAGGTATTTGTGCATATTTATACATAATTCGAGTTCCGTGTTTTCCGATCAATCCAAAAAACTCAGAAAAACGTCAGTCGATAAAATTTTATTCCATTCGGATTTATCCGGTAAACTCAGAATTTCGATGTGCCAATGCCCCCCTCCCCCCCCCCCCACACACACAAAAGTATTTTACAATTAATGGTTTGATCAGCACATAGAGTCAATGATCCTGGGAAAATGCCACCACACTTTTGTTTCAAATTTAACAGGTCATTGTACTTTCAGGTCACGACAAAAGTCACTGTTTACGTTTCCAGTTTCGGTCAAACTATTTGCGCTCTAGAGTAAGGAGAGATTGTGCTTTTGAAACAATAAAAGCTATGGACCATAGAGATTGCATAAAATGGGAAAGAGGGACAATTGAAACTTCTCAACTACATCCTTTACCCCTTTACCTCCTGCGGCCGTGCAGTAGGTTGATGGGATAGTATGGAATGAATAGACGCTTCCCAGCGACTACCTCCAGGAGCTTATTGATTTTAAGGTATCGACATTTATAGAAGCAACACTTGTATGCAACTTTTGTCGTAGGACAAATTAGTATTGCCAGTGGTAATGGCACCAATGCCAAAAACAACTGAAGAAAATATTAATTGATACAATCACTTTTTTTTTTCCAGCATATGTTTTCACCCGGATATTATTTATTTATTTTTAATAAGAAACACTGCGAAATTAAACTCAGAATTTTGGAGAATTGGGAATCAAACAAAATTAAACTCCGATAACCTCAGAATTTTTGGCAAAACAAACTCCAAACACCCTTAGAATTTGACGAAAAATAAACTCCAAAAACATTGAACCTTATATATATTATATACACCAATTCCAACACATCCTTTGGTTGCGAAGGACATGCACTAACCACTCAGTTGCTAACACTCCTGAGCCATGTTCAGAATGGGCCAAGGGGACATAATTCTTTTACAGCGGAGCTGTTAAGGGCTAGGTTCCCCAGGATCGTGTCCGGCATGTTGTCACAAACCTACCTGGACAGCTACCACCATCTATAAGCGACGGCGGCAAGCCCACAACCAGTATGGTTGCCGCCGTCGCTGGTAGATGGCACCAACCTTTCCAGCTATCATAAAAGAACGGATAGTTGGGCGGCGCGTTGGTGGGAATTCATCGTAGGAAACAGCGCAAAAGACAGGCGACGACGAAGAAGAAGCACATGTAACAAGCACAGTGCTCGTCACGTGTGTTTCTTCGTCCTCGTCGGTTTTGCGCGCTGTTTCCTACGCTGTTATCAGTTTCGGTTTAGACTCAGGATGGGTCAGCCACGTGCCCTTTCGGGGAAGAAGACTGGCGGCAAAAGGAACGGCGACGTACACAGCAGTGCGAATGGGTCCGTAACCGCCGCAAAGCCGCTGTCGCCTCGACTTCCCCTGCGTCAAGCGCTTCAGATTCCCTTGCCAAAGAAGAGCACATCGTTCGCCTGGAAAGCTGCTGCCGAGAACAGAACCAGCGATGTAAAGGGCGCCGGCGGGCCAACGCCATGGATGACGTTCGTGCCACAGAAGCCAAGCGCAAGCACGAGGCCCGGCAACGACTGCACTCCACGCCCGCTGAACAGTTTTCGGGCACGACAGCGATGTTCCGGACTCTGGGTCGCCGGAGACGTATCCACAATCGGCGGCGTGTCGGACGAGAAGAAGCGGGAAAGGGGCGCGTGCGCGTTGCGGCAGTGTATATAGTACAGCTCCGCTGGTCTTCCTTCTTCATGAGAGTGGAAAGGCTGAACGTTTTTTAGGGGCGAAGCTCCCTAGGGTCTAGCCTTGTCCGGCGTCCGTGCTCAGATCAATCTTGCTGGTGCTCATGCTCGTGAGCTCACGTGCTCGTGTAAAGAAAAAACTTTGCGCAGTTGACAAGATTTGAACATGTGTGGGGAGACCCCAATCGATTCCTAGTCCATCGCCTCAACCACTCGGCCACGACAGCCGGACGAGTAGGGGGCTCTGAGATGTGGTAGTAACTCAAGACCTGATGACAGGAGTGGAAGCGGGCTAGAGCCTTTTGTACCAGGGCTGGGAGCAGCAAAAGTCCCACTTTGGAGCAGTTTTGGAGCAGTAAAAGGCTCGCTTTAGAGCAGCTCGGGAGCAGCAAAAATAAGTTTTGTAGCCGTAGAAGTAGGTTTTGGAGCAGGTCACGGAGGTCAAACAGGTGTCTAAAAGTGATTTGTTGTTTCTAAATGTGAAAATGTAGCAAAAATATATGCATGCACATCCCAGAATAATTTTCAAGCAAGACACATACATACCTTTCTATTTCTATTGCATTGAAATATGGAATATTGGCAATTTATGCAAAGGAAAGGCTTTGAGGACCATTCCGGCAGCAGGCAGAGTCATGATAGACTTTATATGGGAGGCCCCGACAATAAAAGCCTAACTTGAGCCACGCCAGTACAAAACTGTCTACTTAATAGACCAATCGTAAACATGTATCCAGAAAACTAAACCACTGCAAGGTGTCAGATAAACTACCTTCGCTGACTACAGTTTTTGTTTAATAAAGAATACACATGTTCAATCACTACTTAAAAAGCCCTATATCAAGTTTAGTAACAAAATACAATTCTACTGACATTTGACAAAAATTCAGATGCAAAATAAAATGTGTATTTTATATCTTTAGACTACCACAGTCACTCGTACATATGCAGCTTTAAGCATCGACTAGAAGATCAACGCAACCTTATGTACTCCATAAAATGCTGTGCATTTCGTGTCTCCATAAAAAAAATTAAGGTACCACAACATGTTTCAGAATAAAGCAGCCCCTGCTGACCTGTTTTCATTAAATACAAATGTTCTTAATCCCTGCTTATAAAATACAGTAATCCCTACACCCAAGTTAACATACAAAGCTATATCTAATTACTTTGGATGGAAAAATATATTGTCTTAAAAATATCACAGCCACTAATACATATGCAGCATAAACACTGACTAGAAGAGCCCACAGGCTCCATGTTAAAAAAAAGGGTTTTGACTAAGTTGAATCTGTGTAATTTAGATACAACTGAACTTCACCTTTTTTCCACAGTTTGAAGAGCAGAGTCAATTTCTTTTATGCGCTCCAGTACTTTGGGCAGTTTAGAGTTCACATCACTTAGCAGGAGGTGTCCACTCCCCACCTTGTCCATGTCCTTAACTGCCTCACCCTTGCTTATGAGTTCTTGTGCACTGAGTAGAAATGCTTTAAGAGAAGACAGTTTGAACGAGACTGAAAATGAGATGTAGCTGATCAGGCGCTGATCCCTGCGGGGCAGGCTGCCTTCTTACGTGACAAAAAGCCCACCAACTTCTCTCTACCCTACCCTACCCAACCCCCCCCCCCCCCCCCCCCAACCAGAAACTTATACGAGTAGAGTGGCTATAGCAAGTTAAGGTGCGTTCTTGACAGGAATCGGCAGCGCGGGAGTGTTGTACGGCATTTCTGATGTAACCCCCACTCCTCCACCCTAAAGGAAAGAAGCAAAAAAGTGTGTAGCACTGCCAATTAACCAACTCGCTTAAGATCGCGGGTATTGTTTTCGCCAGTGGTTTGACGGCGGTAGACAACACACGACAGCGTGCACATTCGCGCACACAATGACGGTTTTGGTTTTGTTTTGACAAGACAAATTGAGCTCGAGAACGGATGTGCCTGTGCTCTCGATTCTTCACGGCTAAGCGTCCAAATATGGTAGGCTACCAAATACCAGGTAAAGCTAGTAAAGACCACTTACTTCTGCTCATGTTAATGGCCAAGGTAGCCCACCGGTGCCGAGGCACCAACTCCCACGATCACGGCAAATCGGGACCACGGGCAACTGCATGCGCGCTCCAACCGCGCCAACCAACTATGCCCGAAACCAAACCGATGTGTTCGTATATAAACTCTTTGTAGTAAAAAACGACATCGCACTCTCGATGAACTAAAATCGACGCCTCGCCCTGAGGTTAGACATGGTTCGGAGCCCCAGTCGAGTTGGTGCGAGTCACCCGCAGTGACACCTAAGCAAAAGTACACACCTCATGGTGGCCCGTGGCCAAAAGTTTTCCGCTAAATTTAGAAAAAACACTAAAAAAAAAAAAGTTGAAATTGGCGTTTTGGAGCAGGCTGGCGCAGGGTGGCGCAATTGGCGCAGCGCTTCCACCCCTGTGATGATGTCATGGATGAAATGTTGCATGTAGCCGCTCAACGTCTATACAGGAGGGCGCTGCGGTCAAATGCGTATATAATCGCGTTAAACTTTGCATGCATTGGCTCAATGTTTATAGACGAGAGGACGCTGCGGTCAAATGCGCATATTACCACGTTCCATACCACACATTCTCTTTCTGACATGGATGAAAACGAACGAAAGGCTTGGCATGCTGCGGCTCAGCGTCTACGCAGACAAGCGCCACGAGAGCTTTGCCCCAATCAACATCATTCACCACGTGAAGATGCGGTCATTATTTTTTCTTTAATCTAAGCGTCGGCTTTGCTGTCAAGCGAACAATAGCTGAGGAAATGTCAACTCACCTCTTGAGGTTTCGGTGTTGAGCAGTTCGAAGGCAGGGTCTAGTGGGTTCCACTGCCCCGTGATCTGGTAAGCTGTTGGTTCGGTGCCCACTGTTGATTTGGCCATGGACACCTGCATTCCACAAATGAGCAGACTGCAACATGCAGACGAACCCTAACGTTTTTATAGGAACATGGTAAAACACCCTTTTACAAATACCAGAACTGCTAAGTTTTAGGGCTGTAGTATAGATGTGGCTTTACGCATCTACAACCTGTGGGAGAGATTGAAAATGCAGCCCAAGAAAGACAGTAAAAAAAATACAGTGATACATCAGCCTAGGTGGGAGAGGTTATACAAAGCAAGCTTCACTGGTTGGCTCTGTAGTGTATTTGTAAGGTCACCTAGCATGACTGAGCCCACAAGAACACAGTGGAACAGAGTGTTTGGCTGAGTTCACTGCAAGACATTGTGCGGAAAAGCCTACCCTTCTGCATTTATTTCAGAAATCTGCACCACAAGTTGAGGAATAAGACAAGTCTTAAAATTATATGCACAGTCATCCTGGATTCTAAGTATCTAAGGCAAGTACAACTGTGATAAGGGTCACTGACAATTACCCAAAAAAATATTTTCTCTGGACTGGCTAGATGACTCTTCTAGGAAAGGCTTGCATTAGTAACATCAATTCATAGCTTTCATCCCACAAATCAGTGACGTTGTTGTGAAGGCTTCTAAACCCACCCCCTGTTAAAATGTCTTACGGCAACGCCCCAGGCTTCTTCGTAAATAAATAAAAAGAAATTGGCATAAACTCAAATTGAAAACAAATACTATGCATGGAGTGTCGGAACGGAATGAGCAACTATTTTATGGCCACTCTAAAACGTTGAACAACTGCACAAAACTTAGCCCAAAGATGCTTACAATCTGGTACAAGGGTCTCACAATAACTAAAGACATCTTTTTGTAAGCTGCCCTCCAGATGAGGATTTTGGTGCACACTCACCATGCCAATGAGTTGCATGTCACTGTGCTTCACGTGACGCCCCGGACAGATCAGCATCCCAAAGCATCTGCGGAATAAAGATGACAACCAAATGTATGGAAACAAGCATAGCACAAATGCGAGTCCATCGGTTACTCGAAAGTGGGTCAAAATGCATGTTTGAAGTCAATGTACACTGCTCGAAACAGCTGGCACAAGCACGACATTGGTGCCTATTTGCACTTTGCTCATACAGGGTACAGACAAATGCCAATTTTAATTCCTGAGGTTAGTGTCTCTAATGAGCACACTCCTCCAAACTAGCAGTTTTGATGACAGCCTGTTAATTTGAAAATAAAAACGAAAAATCCTGCAATTGCACATTTGTGCCAACGGTCCTGCACTGAATGTACGTCAAGTACTGGCAAAGATGAACATACTGAGAGAAAAAACTCCAAGAGGTTTGAATTTGGAAAGGTCTAAGAGGGTCTAAGACTCCAGTTCAACATGGTTGAATGATGAAACTTCAGAAGGGTTTAAATTTTAAGAAAACATATTTTCTGGCAGGTACAAAGCATACCATGCAGAAACAAAAATCAAGATTCAATATAGTTTTTGAACAGATAAATGCACAAATGGATGACAGCTACATACTTCACATCACACAGTTGCTAGTGTGGCCGGGCATAAGGAGGCTAGCGGACTGCTCTTGTTTCCTTAGTAGCAAAGAGACCGACCGTTCAATGCCAAGTTCCCTGGTGGACGCTGTTTGCTGCACCGTGACTTGGACTACCTTCTCAAGGTTGCAACGGAATTTGAAGCAGTCCTTATCTCTGGCACATGCTGAAAAGTTGCCCTGTAAAAGAGAACATTCAAGCCAGGAATAAGATATCTTTCCTGCAAACAATTCTAATTAGAAATAAATCGTCAATGCTGAGGTTCCAAGAAACACTTTATACTCTTGCTCGTATCCTGAAAGCTCCAACTGGGCAGCAAAAAGAAAGTGCTCGAAACATGCAGTAAATTCCTGACTGGAAATCTCGGGCTTTTGTAATTCAGTCATACATAATACAGAAATCCAATTTCTAAGTTTATCTTTACAAGATCCTCTAAATAAATAAGGACAATGTTAACAGTCCAACTTGTCAAACATTTTCCCATCCATTAAAAAAAAAAAAAAGAAAGAAGAGACAATTTGTTTTACAAAATGAAAACTATGGCATGGAAAATGAAATTTTTTCACATTGAAGCAGTTCATGCAATATCAGTAAAAATATGTACAAAAGTTCTAAAAAAGAATAAAAGAAATACCAACAAAAGTTTGCCATTTATCTTGTTTATTTAGTTGTGTCAATTGTTTGCAGTGTTTATATGCCTAGGTATATGAACATCCTACGACTATCACAGGAGATGTTCATTCATGTGATTGCAAATGCATGTTACAATACACCCAACTCCGATTGAGCAGTTTGAAACACTCAAATGTAGGCATGCCAGCGACAGCACTTTACTACTTTGTTTTACTGTAACTTGGCAAAGAGCAAACGCTATGGCCCTTTCAAGCCAATCGGATCAATGGAGGGAAGGCACGCGACAGCCAAAGGGGCGAGAGCATAGCCTAAAAGCAGTTGGAGCAGAGGGGGAGGAGGAACTCTCCTCTCAACCAGACCCTCTCGCCTGGGTCCCAGATGTCGCTTTGTCACCCTAAGCTAGCTCGTCCATCAAAATCCGTACAGAAACGGCTTTCCTCTCTCGCCAGCCTATGGTTTTGAAGGCAACGTGCACAACTGAGATAGACGATGGATATGCGTTTCCCCCCAACGTGCCGACTGACTCGAGGCCCGTTCACACACTGCTGTTTGCTTAGGACCGAGTTCTTGCGATCTTTTACGACGAGAGAACACATTGGCTTTGCTGGCGCCATCTCTGAGGCGACTCTAAAACTGAATTCCCCCGGAAAAACATTTGGGGGGCTTTACGTGCCAAACTAACAAAGGGCACCTGGAAAGCGACAGCGGAAAATTGAGGATTAATTTAGACCACCTGGAGATCTTTTGATGTGCCACCGAAAGCTAAGTTACCTAGTGCCTTCTGCGCAACAAGCCTCCGTCGGATTGCGGGTGCCTCGGCCGGGATTGCATTTCGCTAGAGCAAAGATTTTGCTGTATTTGCGGGATCAAACATACATTCGCTCGACAAAAAACAATTCTTTAAAAAACTGCAAAAACAATTTGAAAAAAAAACAAAAAAAAAACATTTTTTTTTTACATAAACAGCAAGTGTTCCATGGTCACCCAACAGATGGTGCCAGTTGTGCTCTCTTGTCGTAAGAGATTTTAAGAGGTTTTAAGGCACACGGTCGTAAGCAGTCTTAAGCGTGTAAATGGGCCTTCACTCGGACCATAGCCTTCGCTGCTTGCCAAGTTATGGTGAAACAAAGTACAGACAAGAAAAGGATAGGGCCTTGCCCTTTAGGTGGCATTGGACCTAACGGAGAGAGGGTGGAGCTCACCCGCTGGTCCTCCTCCCGCACATCCAGGGTGGCCTCGAAGGTGTGCACCTGTTCGTTGTTGGGGACCCCCGTGCCCACAGAGCTGAGGGGGGGTGCAGGGCCCGAGGGGGCTGGGGTGCGGGGCACCCGGCGGAACGCCGCCGCGAAGCTGTGCAGAACCCGCTGCACGGCGGGGGGCCCGCCCCGGCCACACCGGAACACGTGGCACTGGAAGATGGCCGACTCGGGGCTGGACCCGTGCGAGCAGGTGAAAGCGAAGCAATGCTGCTCGGGGGAGCCCAGGGCGCCCCGGGCGCAGAACAGGATGCGCTGGATCGGGAAGCTCGCCACCTCGCTCCGGGTGCTGCTCTCGTACACCCTGGGCGTTTTCAGGAGGAAAGGCGGCAGAGAAAGAAGCATGCCATGTCAGAGTAGCAAGAAACATATATATATATAGGGTGACTGAAATAACCAGGCTCGGTCTAAAATGGGCCATAAAAATTGGCGCCTGTACGAAGCAATCTGAACTTTTCATCAATGTGTATTTCACAGGTCAGTTATTTTTCTTGTAAAATTACAAAGCGCTGCTCCCTTTCTGCAAAAATAGGACCAAAAACTTGTCAGGGTCAATGGCAGATGGCGACGCAGATGACCGAGTCGAGTTGCGAGGTGCGTTTGGCGTGCATATAAATAGATGGCGTCAGGAGCAGCGTCCGAAGGTGTAGCCGACCAGCAAAAGAAAGCAGACGAAATGCAGACGGAATTTGTTGGCAGCAAAAATGCGGTCGTTATGCAACTACATTTTTTTAATTGTTTTTACTTTAGTTCTGCTGTTATTATCCGGATTTATTTTTAGACCAAAGGTACATTACAAAAAGATTATGTACATTCTAATAAACTCCAGTGGTCACGAGCAGTCCGATAAGGAGGTAGCGCCATCCAACAATACGTGCGCCGAACGCGACTCGCCACTTGACTCTGTCGTTTGCGTCGCCGTCCGCTGTTGAACCTGGCAAGTTTCTTGGCCCCATTTTTTACAGAAAGGAAGCTATGCTTTCTAATTTTACAAGAAAAAACCACCCTGTGGAACGCACGTTTTACAAAAACTTTAGATTGCGACGTGCAGGCATCGATTTTTCCGGCCCATTTTTGATTGAGCCTGGTTATTTCAGTCACCCTACAAAAAACAAAAAGAAAAAAAAAATATTTTTTTATTAAGTTTATAAAGTTGGTAGAGCTCCTTTATCCAATAAGTAAAAAAGAGACAGCATGAAAAGGGCTTTAAGCATGTCTTACATTTCGATTTTCTGGCTTGGGTAGCCTAAAGAAACACTGCACTCCAAAAAACACGCTTCTTTTTGAAACTGCCCAAATAAGACATGTATGTCACAAAATAAATATTTTCTGAAAATTTTATTTTGAAATATCTATACTGGAAGATGCAATCTAGACCAAGCCGTGGATGCAGCGCATGGGCCAACCTCCTCTCCACTTTTTTTCTCTCTGCACAAGGAACCATGAGCAAAGTTGCAAAAGAAAGGTCTGTGAAGGGTGTATTTCCTCCATGCTTTCAGCCAATGGGAGGCTCACAAAAGGACTTCCATTTTGCGTCATGGTGACATTGATCCCCAAATACAAGTAATTTTTAATGGTTCGCAAGAGCAGAAACAGAATGGCTCCGAAATAAAAATGCGCCAGACAAGGTAAATATTGCGTTAATAATTTTTTTTAAAGGGTAGTACATTCTGTGACATAACTTATCCGGGCAGTATTAAATTTTTTTGTTTTTGTTTTTGAGGGGGGGGGGGGGTTGGGAAGGGCAAGTGCAATGTTTTTTCAAAAAAATTTCATGCACGCAGCAGTTACTACACAGTGTGGCCAAGGGCACTCACGCCACGACCCCCTCTGAGTCGGGGGGCACCACCAGGGCCACCTGGATGTGCTGATCGGCAGATTGGTCGTTGAGGATGGCCATGTTGCGCTGGATCTCCAGCTCGCTGCGCGGGGCATTGATGGCCGCACAGCCTAGGTAGGCAACTTGGTCGAATGCCTGCTCGCGCCCGTGGGGGTGCTGCTCCTCAGGCATGCCTGTGAAACACCGTGTCGCCTGAGCTATGGCCCTTGCACTATGGCACGGTGAGAACCCTAATTTGCTCCTACTCCGTTCAGCTTGTAAAGGAGGCGGTTCATTTATTTTATTCATAATACCTTACAGGCTCATGCTTTGCATGAGCCTGTAAGGTAAATTGCAAAAAAATGCACGAGACAAGGAAGCACAGAACCCAAAAACAAGTACTACTAATGCTTTGAGGAAAGAATTAAAAAAAATATAATGTTCCAATAAAAAAACATGCATTTACCCATCAGCAGTGCCCTGGAAAGGTATAAGTTTACACTAGAAGCAGAATATAAAGGGTTGTGAGCTATGCCTGTCCATCATTCAGAGGACTTGCCTCACAAATTACGCTATACAGTAACTGGTGAAACTATGTTATAACAGCATTTTAGTTAACATTTTTATTGTTGTTGCATTTTCAAGTTCTAGACAGCTTTCCTCAGGTCATTATAGTGAAGTTCTATGATCAATATAAAACACCAGAGTAGCCATAGCTGGTACAAAAGAAACTTAAAAGCCTCAGTGCGCCAGCTGGCACTTCACTCGGAGACTTAGCTTCCTTGGTTTTAAAAGTAATAGCCCCAGAGATCGTTCAGTATAACATTTACTGCCACTGATGCTTCCAGGAGGTTCCTCTTCCAAGTTACATGGTCCATTTAGCGGAACAAAGACATTAAAATCACTAACATTGGTAACTGTTGTTTCAGACTTTCCTTGCAACGAGTTGCTGAAGGATGAGAGAACAAGAGGTCCATATCCGAAGTACAGTATAGACCACTTACAACGTAACCGTTTATAGTGCAGGACTGGGTATAACGCAGTTTTTTTAAACCACCGGTTCGTCTCCCATAGAACTCCATGTAATTACATACCGCTTAAAATGCAGGCGCGCAAAGGGAAATACCGGTTATAGTGCGATTTCTGGAACAGCCCGCCGACCACGCCGACAACCGGAGCAGCGAGCACGCTTCCCTGTGCGACACTAGATAAGGGCGCTGACGGCGCTAGCCGCAAGCAACACTCGCAGGGCAAGACGCGGGGCAAGGAGGTTGCTCGAAGAAGCGGGGAGAAGTGGAGAAAGGCTTCAGTTGCCGTCCCTCCGCTGCGTTGGAAAATAACCACAACGACAGACCGATCGCAGGTTGAGGAGAAGTGTTCGCGCGCGTTGCATGCCGGTCGCGGGCCGGCTGCTTCTATTTGCGAACAATGCGTCGGTTGCGATTGTCGTCGTAGACGGCGTGGTGGAAGCTCATTGTTCCGCGTAAAAGCGCTATCCTTGACTGTGAATTTTCGTTGTGTGCTGCTATCACAACCCAGCACGTACTAGAAGAGAAGATCTACCTACTCGTGCGGCGATGTCGTGGCGGCGCTCTCAAGACGGCAGAAACGCCCGTGTCGTCGTGTTTGTTTACTTCGACTACAGTGGTGCTTTCTAAGCCTTTGTGTCCTCGAACATCGCCCGAATTTCTTATTTGGCGCATTTCATGCGTGTGCTCAAGTTGAAGGTATTACTGGCACGTACCGTATGAAGGATACGAATTTTCACGCGTTTTCATCACCGGAGAAAAGTGATTAGGGTTTGCAATCCCGAACGCTTGCAACGTCCGTCCGCAACCCGCGACGCCGTTAAAAGGCTACGCCAGGCAAAAGCCGCTCATTCCTTTAAAATGTGTGACACACTTGAGACAGAACTGTACTAGTCTGGTGAAATAAAGACTTTCCTCAAACTAAGCTTTATTTTTCATCTAACATAAAATAAATTCTTTTACAAAGGTAAGTTGTCTCATGGCATGTATTTTGGCCTGAAAAATTGATGTTTTGGTCAGGGGTGGATGCAGGAATTTCCTGAGGGGGGGGTCAGGTGTTGGTCAACGTGCCATATGCTTAGGAACCCCCTCTCCTTCGTTTTACGCCCTTAATTTTATGCATGCAGAAATCAAGAGGGGGGTCAGGACATCCGGACCCCCGCTCTAAATCCGCCCCTGGTTTTGGTTATAGCGCGGTACCGCTTATAGTGCGGATTTTCGCGACTCCCGCAACATACGTTATATGCGGTCTACACTGTACTAGGCAGACGCTGCACCGGAGCTGCAGACAACGAGGCGCACCTTGGTCGAGGTCTCCCCTTCCCTCGGAAGCCTGGGCTGCCGTGGGACTGCCAGCAGACCCGGAGGAGTTGCTGACTTCGACGGGAGCCTTCATGGCCTGGTCAGCGTCGCCGACTTCCCCAGTTGGGCCAGTCTCCTGGAACAATGTGTGCATGTGAGTCTTACAGCTGTTCAGAGTTATTCGGAGTCTTGGCTATGAGACTGCACTGTCCCTAATCTTGTCATACTACCATTGCCAATAAGGTGCACAAGAACAGATCAGGATGAAAATGCTACGAGCTTCGGATACACACTTCTGCAACTGCAAGCAGCAACTAAGGGTACTTCAAAAGGCTTCATGAGCAAGCTCACATAAACCCTATGAAAGAATTGAGACCTTTTGGTCGATAGAAGAGAAGTGAACTCTGAGTTAAGTGCAACAACAGCTTGTCCCAATGACCAAAACATTTTAGATATCTAGTATGCAGAGCAGTTCAAATCATACTACAGTATAGACCACTTGCAACGTAACCGCTTATAGTGCAGGACCGGGTATAACGCGGCTTTTTTAAACCACCGGTTCGCCTCCCATAGAACTCCATGTATTTACATACCGCTTAAAATGCAGGCGCGCAAAGGGAAATACCGGTTATAGTGCGGTTTTTGGAACAGCGCGCCGACTGACCGGCGCTGCGAGCACGCTTCCCTGTGCGACACTAGATAACGGCACAAGCCGCAAGCGGCACTCGCAGGGCAAGGAGATTGCTCGAAGAAGCGAAGAGAGGCTTCAGTTGCCATAGCGACGGAGGGACGCACGCACGTGTCGTTCACGTGCGTGCGTCCCTCCGCTGCGTTGGAAACAAACAACCGCAACGAGAGACCAATCGCAGGTCAAGGAGAAGTGTTCGCGCGCGTTGCATGCTGGTCGCGGACCGGCTGCTTCTATCCGCAAACATGGCGTCGGTGGTGATCGTCGACATAGACGGCACGGTAGAAGCTCATCGTTCCGCGTAAAAGCGCTATCCTTGACTGTGAATTTTCGTTGTGTGTTGCTATGATAACCCAGCACGTACTAGAAGGGAAGATCCACCTACTCGTGCGGCGATGTTGTGGTGGCACTCTCAAGACGGCAGAAACGCCCATGTCGTCGTGTTTGTTTACTATCGACTACAGTGGTGCTTTCTAAGCATTTGTGTTTTCGAACATCGTCCGGATTTCTTATTTGGAGCATTTCATGCCTGTGCTCAAGTTGAAGGTATTACTGGCGCGTACCGTATAAAGGATGCGAATTTTCCTGCGTTTTCATCGCCGGAGAAAAGTGATTAGGGTTAGCAATCCTGAACGCTCGCAACGTCCGTCCGCAACCCGCGACGCGTTAAAAGGCTGCGCCAGGCAAAAGTCACTAATTTCTTTCAAAATGTGTGACACACTTGAGAGAGAAGTGTACTAGCCTGGTGAAATAAAGACTTTCCTCAAACTAAGCTTAATTTTTCATCTAACATAAAATAAATTCTTTTACAAAGGTAAGTTGTCTGATGGCATGTATTTTGGCCTGAAAAATTGATGTTTTGGTTACAGTGCGGTACCGCTTATAGTGCGGATTTTTGCGACTCCCGCGACATACGTTATATGCGGTCTACACTGTAAAGTAGAAGCACGCTACAAACTACAAAAGGAAAAATAAAAGAAGCAGACTAAGGCATTAAAAAAAAGGAAGAATCACACAAGGGTGCCCCTGTCCTTATCTGTTTGTCCCCTTTTGAATGCTTTTAAGTCTTAGACAAATGCAGTAATATGCAGAGCAAAGTTGTGTGCAAAAGACCTTGCTTTTAGCCAAAACCCCGTTCGTGACTATTACAGGATGCACGCCTGCCAACTGCAAACAAAATGATGGCGGAGGGCAGTCGGTCAATTAGGCCTCGGGAAAAAGTGGAAAGCAGATTAGGCTAACAGAGCCCCGCGTAAAGCAAGGATGCCACAGGAACCAGGAAGGTTAGGCATCCCGGGGCCACTACCGAGAGGACATCCTTTCACAAAGGATGTCCTCTCTGGGATCACAGCAAAGGATTAACTAAAAGGGTTAATGAAAGAGTAACATTCTTCTAAAGAGGACAATTTTAGAAGAACGGTTGCACGAGCAGTTCTTAACCCAACATGCATACTCTTCAGCGTCACAGTTAAGCATATTAATTACAGTGCAAGCACGAAAAAAAAAAAAAAGGATCATGCAGACAGAGTACTCAGCTTCAAAAGGGCAATGAGATCAGACAAGCAGAAAAAGAGTTTTTCTGAAAAAATTATGCACTCGTGGTTGCTGTTGTTAGACATTTATTTCCGCTAGGACAGGCCATGCAAAACAGATTTTCAAAGCAGATTCAGAGAAGGTGCAGACGGTGCCAACGGGTCAGCTGGCAGCAACAGGCCAAGAGAGAAGCAAAATAGCAAGCACGCAAGAACAATTATGGCTACAAGATTTCCTTCGAGAGAAACATCCTCCCAGCAACCATGCCACATTTCCAGCCACCCCTATATGTTCATTTTTTCCCTATCCCAAAGGTTGATTCGGCATCCTTCTCTTTACCGAAAACTAGTGCTTCGCGCGCCCCAAGTAAGTGGTGCTGAGAGTTGCCAGGTCATCGCACTGCTGTGGATTACAGCTACATTTCCTTCAATAAGCAGATCTTCAGCTACCCCTTACATATTCCCCTCATTCTTTAAACCGTTAAAAGTTGTCTCAGCATTATTTTCTTCGCTGACGCTAGTGCTCTGCGTGCCCCGTGCAAGTGGTGCCGAGAGTTGCAGAGTCATCGCACCGCCGGCGGCGGGGGTCCCTCGCTGGGGGCTGCCTGCCGGCCCGTGGCTCCCTCTGCAAGCAGCTCGGTGAGCCGGCTCTGCAGCTGGTCCTGGCTCCCGTTGCCAGCAATGCTGAGGCGTGGCTGGTCGGCGCACACCAGCTCGTACTCCTCGCTGGTGGCCAGGGAGTCCGAGCTGGCCTCCTCCTCCATGCCAGCCCTCCTCAGGACGCTCCTGAGGGGCCCCGCACCAGTCCGGCCGCAGCAGCCATTGGACAACACTCCCTCCCGTCACCCGCCTCACATACTAGGTTACGAGGGACAGACAAAGTGGAGTGGAGTTCTATTGAATTAATGAAACATACAAGGTATCCCAGTGCCAAAAATTTTTTTTTAAAGGGTTTATTTTGGCCACAAAGATAAACTATGCATTGCTGAAAGCTCATTCTCCGCCGTAACATACTGCCAGCGATTCAAATCAGATGCCAAGGTTTGAGGACTAACCTTTGCCTGATTCAAACGTTACCAGCGATTTTCTGAAATTTTTTATATGAGAAAATGGAGGCACTAGAATATATGAAGCGGAATGGAGCCAGTCACCCCGAAATGGGCCCTATTTCTCTGTTGCAATTTTCAGAAAATCAGTTTTAACTTCTGAATGAGATAATGGTTAGATGTCAAACTTTGGCATCTGGTTCGAACTGCTGGTGCTACATTTGGGCGGAGATTGGGCGTTCCACAATGTAGAGTTTACTTTTGCAATAAAATAACACTGTAAATTGTTGTTGTTGTTGTTGTTGTTGTTGTTGTTTTTTTGGGGGGGGGGGGGGGGGGGGGGGACATGCTACACTTTAAGGGGAGAATTGAATGCAGTGGAGTTTTATGGAAAGTTCTATGAGATACAGAGAGAATTTACGTTTAATGAAAAAAACATTAAACTCGGACACTGTCTATAATTCTTTTTTTTCAGCCTCTTCCAGTGTGTGCTCTATTTTTGTTCCACCTCAGTGTTGGGTCTTCCCATCATAATAATCATGACATTGCTTTAGATTTTAATACTTGTATTCTGTTTTTGAGCTCTCCGCGGAGGTTTTGTCCAGTATGATTGTCTACCTTTGCTAGTGGAAGCACTTCCACAGGCAAAAGCAGACAATCAAATTATGGGTAAAACAACCTTTTTTTTTTTTTTTCTTCTCCATAAACTGGATTGTCAGTCACTTTTATATATAAAGAAAGATTTAGGAAACACCAAATAAAACAACTGACAGGTCTGGCTATTCCTGGGTACGGAGAGGTTAATTTGACAACAAAGTGGCGAAGTGAAGGGTATGAGAAGTCAGTCTATGAAATCTTTGAAAAGGCAATTAAAATAAATTGATCAAGCTAACGCTAAATCCAACTTCAACTGAAGCATGCGAGTGCTTTAGAAAAGCATAAGAAGCATTCCTGATCGAAATAGCTACTTTTGTTCCGAACCAACAACGCTTGGGCAGAAATTCAGGAATTGGCTTTCTCTTTACAAGCTTTAGATGTCTACATGTACGATTTGGTCGTGCTATAAACCATTCTAGAAATTGAAATGAACGTAAATCTGACAGTGCATTATTGGTGTGGTGTCACAAAAACCTTATCAATCTTGCCAAGGCTTGAATAAGAATACTTTTAAAATAAATTACAAATATATATATATATATATTTGCACAACAAGGAAGCAAAACGGGCTGCATGATTGGAACACTCGTGCCTTTGATGTCGCATTATCGCAACCCCGACCTCCTTTCCAACAGATTGAATACGTCCTTGCCAGATTGTTTTCGAAGTGCGTCGTAACCACGCGGTTGTAACTTTAGAAACCGTATTCTCTTGCTTGTCTTGTGCATGTGTATGTCAACAGTCAGCACACTTCGTCGCCACAGCTCCAAACAAGACCAGGCGTTTTATCTAAACTTGGCCTTGGTAGTTCGAAGAGCTGAACAAAAAACGAACGATTTTTTAACACCTCCCACAGCTAACACGCCTCTTGACGAGGCGCAGACAATAATAGCGAAAAGAGAGACCAATTTTCGAGCTCCGATCGTCGTTGACGCTTTTCTCTGATAGGTTCATTCAGCGAGAACGGCAAACCAGTTTCACAAGTGGATGTGGCCCGAGTGTTCGTCAAAAATTTCAGCTGCATTCCGTAAAACCGTGTTCCAGCTTCGTTCGCTGGAAAAAGTGTAGAAAATAGCTGCAGCGACTAAAACTCGGAACTGATGCAGAGCTTCGAGAGAAGCCACCGCAGGCTGTGAAATGATGAAGGCCAGATGAAATCTGAAATGTTTAGAACGTGTGAAGTGTTGTGCGCTTTCTCTGAACTTATTTAGTTGCAATGCAACCTTTCTGCAAGGACGTCAGAGTGCCGCCTAAAATGCACGAACGTTTCGTGTTTGGGTTACACCCCCCTCTCATCCCGTAACAAGCAACGACGCTTTAATTCAAACGCGTATCTCTTAATCAAACAATTACACAGCCCCATTCGTAAGTAGCAAATACGAACAAAAGCTATGAGGGATGCAAATGATTCATAGGAAGCGGATAACAGGAAAACAATGATAGTGGAGCTCAGCGTTCCAAAATCAACTCACCCATCAAAGGAATCAATACTCCGACGAAGTCATTGGAGAGCGTTCCCATAGATCGGAGCGCTTTCGAGGCAGATGTGTGAAGGACGGCACGATGACCGGTAAAATCGAGTTGACGAGCGACGATGGCAAAAAAACTAACAGCGAAATTATTTATCAGTAGTAGGGCTAAGCTCCAGCGGCTGTGACAACCTGACCCAAGCGCCCAAGCTGACCAGCCGCCCCTAACTACAAACGAGTGTCACTTGGCAACTATGAGGGTACATAGTTGCCAAGTTGCAGTAAACTTTATGGGACAGTTTACGACTTTAATAAGTAACTTTATTTTCCGTCAAAGCGATGGAAGAGGTGGAAGAAAAAAACTAATAAATCAAATTGATATAAATAATAAATAAGATTGTATTAGAATTAATTGCTGTATTTAATTCATTAATTAGATACACAATAAAAAAAAAAAAGCTTTTGAAGTTTCGGTTTTGGTTCTAAAGACGCGAGCAAGTATCATGCTTTTAGGTTTGTTAGGATTGTTAGGTTGTTCGTTTGTATGCCCAATATTTGAGCCAACAGTTCGTTGCCTAAAGAGCTACTGCTTGGGTGAGTTCTGTTGCATAGCCATTCGAAATAAACTGCAACACAATCACTCGAAGGAGGGCGTCCCCCGAAACGTCATGTATTCCTACCTGTCCACGTTCTTTTTTAGAATAAAGGGTGTTTGTGAAAAATCCGAACCCGGCTTTTCGCACCGAAAAAAATAAACTAGACATTGCGGGGAGCTCCAACTTCGTCAAAACGTATCCCCAGCCGTTCGAGCAAGATGCCAAAATGTCAACAGTTACCATTACCGAGTCCACGAGTGGGCACGCGTGGACTCGTGTCCACGCGTGCCCACTCGCGGCGTAAAGCGGGTTCGTTTCGGCAGGCACTACACGAGTGGTTGCACTATCCGAGTTCGTTTCAGCGGCGGCATCCCACGCGTGCATGCGCTCGCTGCATCGAGAAAATCGGGCGTGCGCCAAAATGCAATCCCGTCATGCCTCGCTCCGGCGAGTCCGGCCGGCAAAGAGCGGGAGCAGACGACGGAGGGTTCGTCTGCTGCGATGTGTCGCGGAACCAACTACCTCGTTGCGCGGACCCGAAAAGAAAAAAAGTAGATTCTCTGATAGAAATCGCGTCCCGCGGGCAACATAATCAAACGCGAGCTTGAATTATGAGCGTCTGCTATTTCATGAAAAAAGCAATTAACAACCCGTGCTTTATTTGCAAAGTCGTTCTGTTGCCGTACAGACGCTGAAATATACCAGTGTGTCAAGAAATGCTCAGAACAAACCCATCAGCGGCCCCGAGATTTTTATTCTCATCCGTGGGCGGGTGAAAAATTGAACATTTGTCGACAAAACTCCCCCAGCAGAAACCTTTGACTGCCCAATAGGCATACGAGAAAGCTAAACATAGTGACTTTACTCGAGACTTGGGCAACATCATCATGTTTAACATTTACCTACGTCAGCTAACTTGCCCCGTCGAATTTTGTTAGAAAAAGTTCTCGTTCTCGACGTCTTCACCAAGGCTAAAGCGCGAAACACATGTACGACGAAACCGTCCGATCCGACGCCCGACCACGCAATACGACGGTCGGAGGCGAGGGGTTTCAACGCTGTCCGACGCTACGAAAACCCTCGACCCCCAAGGTCATTCCGGCAGTCCGCACGTCGGATCGGAAGGTTTCGTCGTACGTGTGTTTCGCGCTTAATACCTGATTCACCAGCTGTAACGACGACCAAAATCGAAAGCCCCACGAAAAGTTTCGCTGGATATTCCAACAGACTAGTTTTAAGCAATACCATTTCAGTGGTTCACGCATAATACCATGCTCGAACGGATCAAGCTTCTGCTCGGACAGCATCATCAGTTTTCTTCAGTGTAAACGGTTATACGAATTGAAAGATCGCAACCAGCTGCTTTGTAGACAGCTGGATGCGGAAATTTACGCAGTGTGTAACTAACTCTCTTTACGGCAGCCGAACTGCTTGAAGTCATCGCATCTATAAACCACAGGTTGCAGCGTTTTAACGTTTGTAGATGAACGTTGGTAGTGACTGCACTCCCGCATTCCCACCCACCACTCCAAACAGAAAAGCCCTAGTTTCGGTTTGAGGTCGGTACTCTTTCTACAACATAGATGGCGGCAGCATCACTCTTTTGCACTTGGTGCATTGGGCGTGTTCGTTTGAGTCCAGTTTTCCGTGCAACACTCTGTGAGTGCGATGCATTCTGGGAGAGCTCGAACGGTGCCAGTGCGTGTAAAACGAACTCGCTATGAAAGTTACCTCTGTTTGCGACCGTCTCTCACAGATGGCACCACTTGTCCCGAAGCTTCCCGCGCTACCCCGCTTGTCGCCCTGCGGTTTCCACGTCTCTTGGGGTTCGGGCAAGCCAGAGCCGTATATGGGGCAAGCTAGCGGTGATGGAGAAAGTAACTAAATATCAGTGCTTTATATTTTAACCTGACGATCTACGCGGAAACCCGCGTCGTCAGGTTACTACGGGGGTGACCCGTGGTATGGTGGCTAGCCACCCTACCCGTGGTACCGAAAGCGCGCGAAATGTGAGGTATTTGGTCCTGGGCTTACTACTGGTCACAGCCGCTAGAAGCTTATTTTTAGTAGAATTACAAAATATAGGTGGCGCGAACCGTTTATATTCGTTATAAAAGTAGTTTTTGTTCAGTATTTTAGATCAGAAAAGAAACAAATGCAGTTTATGGAGTCCGGACACTAGAAATGACCCGTCGACATACCCGCCACCGAGCGGTAAAAAAGGCGGCGCATACTAGAAAGCAACGTTACTAACGTTACTAAAACTATGGTGCCTAAAACGCGTCTCCGACTGGTGTGTTTACCGCGGCCAAAAAAGTGGTCCCTCTATTTCCGCCTGATTACGTCATAAAAGTGTCATGCTGTCGCCGATCGCGACCCTGGCGGCATCTCAACCGTTGTGGTAAAAATATGAGACGCCTGTTCTGCTGCAGGTCGCTCTCCACCCTCTCCACTAGGGGTGTCGCGAACCGGCCGAGGTTCGAGTTCGACCAGGTTGACTTTTTCGAACTTTTAGTGGAATGTTCGACGAACCTTTTATTGAGGTTCGACTCGTGTGCGCATGCGCGACAGGCTGGCCAGTTGGCTTCAGACTGGATGGTGATGGCTAAGGCATGAATGGACTGTTTCCAAAACCGACGCGCCCCAATGCGGCGAAATACCACGCAGTGCACTCTGGGAACTAGTTGGCCACTCAGTTTCGGTTTCGACTGAGCAGATTCATCTCATGCTATCACGCACCGACCGAACGCGCTGCTTGCGTTTTTGATTATCTGACTTTTTTTCCGAATGTACAATACACTCATTCTCGAGCGATACAAAACGAAGGCCGGGGCACTTTCCTTGGTTCCCGAAACACCGGATATTATGAGTGCGTATGCAAACGTAGTAAGACGTGGCTTAGTCACCTCATCTTTGAGTCCAATTTCAATAATCCCGTCTAGTACCAGTGAACTACAAGTGAAATTCGGTCACCTGGAGCATTACACGTATTTTGTTTGCCAAACGTCCGCTTCTTGTTACTTCATTGGGCGAAAAGCAAGCCGCATCCTCACAGGAGTTTCAAAGTTGAGCCCAGCGTTGACGCATGAACTTTTAAGGAAACGCAATAAATTCGACCTCACTATTGCACCAAAGTTATTATGATGTCGTCCTCGTGTCATCACATATCCCCCAGTCATATTTTATGCTGATAGAAGATTAAGTTTTCGCAAACGCTGAGCCTCGGATAGCTACGACGGAGGCCATAACAAGCGTCCCCTACTCCTCGCTAAGCTTTTTTGGACGAGCTTTTACTAACGCCGAAGATCTGTGCCTGAACGGTGTGTCTGAAATTATCTCGGCATACTCAGGCAGGAAGAAAGCAAACACATAACACATATTATGGACATTAGCAACCGTCAAATGCACTTTGAATAATTTCGTTTGTTTGGCGCACCGCATAAGGGTTCATGCCCGTCCGGCGTACTTCTGGCGAATAATGCGACATTTTTCACACAAGTGCTCGACTTTTGCTTTCTTAAAACGGTTTGTATGCGCGAATGTGCCTATACGATTGCAGGATAACTTTACGCGCATACGCGACGTTGAATATTAGTAAAATGCAAATGGGTGGGGAAAGCTTCGCTTCGTGCAATGCTGCGGGTCAGTACAGATAAGAGATAAAAAGTGTGTTATAATTCAATGGCACCTCCGAGTTTTACCACGCGTACACAGGCGTATTAAGAAAATCGATAATTGCAAAAAGGTATATTTCGTCTATGGACGCACGAAACAAACTTCCTGATCAACATCACTAATGTAAAGGCGCGAGCTCGATGTATGCATACTTATTGGTGTCTACAGCTTGTTGATTCGTACACAAGCAAGATTCCCGAGCTCCCACTCCCAGCACTCCCAGCACTGGCTCGTCCACATACCTCGAAATGCTAACAGAATGGCTAAGTACAAAAAATACAACAAGCATGTCTTAAGACAAGCTATACGTCTCGGGCTTGTGCTAAAGCTTCGAGGTCTGACCATCTAGGTTAGTTTAGAGACCACCAATGACGCTCTCGGGGCCAGAAAACATGAGATAACGGCCGTTAATAGTCCATGCTCGGTGTGTAATCTCTTGTCGTCGTGTCGATCGAAACCGAAACCATGGCACTTTCCCCCCTGGCCAACTAGTTCCCAGACTGCAATGCGCGCCGTGTTGCATGCAGGGCTTTATGGAAGTAGTCTATTAAGGGAAGCGCTGATTGGTTATTTCAGTTAATACAGTATAAAACAATTAAGTTTTAACTTCTTCATTGATTAGAATTGGTTTCTTTTAATTCCAACGGATAATAAAATAAAACAACCCTTTGCACAAAAAAATTCTTCAAACCGAGACATGCTTGTTTCAAGGTCTGGCCACACTGTCGAACCCACTGATCTCTGTTCGCTGCAGCGCAAGTGAAGCCACCGGACTTCACTCGCTTGGGATACGATTTGCCGTTTTTGCCAGCCTTTGCTGCGGTTTTCCAGCGTGCTGTAGACAGGTTTTCTACGCGTTCGTCGTCATTCGCTGAAGAAGTTTTTTGAAGACTCTGTGTATTGTTGAGACTTGCCGTTGTGAACACGTGGAAAATTTTACGAAAGTGCAGTGTCGCAGGAAAAAGGCACAACGCGTCGAAAGG